GTCAATGTTGAGTGAGAGCCTTCTACAGTGGAAAAATAAGGTACTTAAATAATCCAGAATGTATTATGTCAGAACTGATATCACTATTTGCATTGAAGAATAAATTGCGTGTTGCAAATCCCCTAGTCACAACCACTGTATAACAGACCAACATACGTACTTTTGATATGCGGTGTATGTAATGCAGGTAGTTGTCACCTTTATTATTGTTGCTTTGAATTGGATTGGGGAAAATAAGGGCACATATTTAGAATTTTAGAGTGGACACGTTGTATGATTTTGGTTAGCAGATAGTACAATTTTGCATTACCTTTAACGACATAGCTGAACAAGTAAAATTAACTTACGTAGTCGGTTAAATCCGCGAGTACATCGGAACGGAAAAGTTGCTTATGTCGCCCATAGCAACTGCGAATTACAAGATTCAGCATCCGTGTTTGCAGTTGGTAGTTCAAGGAAGTTGTAATTATTATGGTTTCGTCTGTTGGTGCGATAAGATGTGCTGGTCTGTGATGTCAACAGGCCATCGTCATCACATAAGGTACGTGTTGGCTTGAGAGTATTTAACATGGGGTTTAGAATATCTTTCTATCCAGTGAAATTGGCAGTTCAGAATTGTAAACTGTTTTCCAATTTCCATGTAAAACTGCAGAGACCGCGCGAGTAATCAGCTCTTACAGGCAAAATAATAAGTTTTTGAACATTCTGTGGTTGTCCTTCACTTCATATGTTCAACATTACTGTGTTGTTAAGTTGTTTTGTTTCCGAAACATATTACTTCACTAAACGTAGAGGTAGCTTTGTTCGAAAGAGCGTGTGGTAGACTGCGTTCCAGCGTTCATGGCCGCTGAACTTTGTGAATTGGAACGTCGGGGCGAGCCACTTACCAGAAGTTTCCTGGATGGGATGGCAGCAGGCCGCGTACAGTACATTCCAAATAAAATATCACCACGGTATGTAACACAGGAAAGTCGATTTCACTACACTACACATCACTAGAAAATTAACACTACAGAGAGTATTAGATAATTTCATCTTCTTCACAACTCTTCGGGCCTCTTTCAATTCTTCCACTCCTCACAGACAAATCTTTCTGACATGACACTCGACTCATCACTACCGCCACTGCTGTCCACTCCATTATCTTCAATTATAATACGTTCAATAGCGTCTTCGATTATGCCTTCTTGCCCATAATAAATTTGTTCTATTTTTTCTACATGCTGACATACATTCTCCCATTCCTCTTGCCCAATTTCTTCGCATCTCTGGCGACACAGATGTTCTACGTCCTTAATTTTAAATGTTATGTTCTTGCTTGCAACCCATTGTTTTACACCCGCCCAAATAAGTTCAATGGGGGTTAAATCGGGATGGCATGGCGGAAGTCTCATCACAGTACGTTCTTTGTCTGCTAAAATCGGATCTATCACATAATATTTGTGCTTTGACTTATTTAATTTTATTAAATCGTACAGTTGAACTTTCAACACTTTGTCACAAAATGGAATGTTTATTTCCAATAGCCAGGCCTTCCTCTCGTCCTTATTTGATTAAGACGTCGGTGGTTTGTCTGAGTGTTGTGATTCGAGGCGTTATCAATGACCAGAAAGGAGATTGCAACGAACAGATGGCATGTTGTTAACACAGCACAGTCACAAGACAACAATTATCAGGCTTCTACACTGCTGTACTGACACAGACTGTACTGACCGACCGAAACTCCTTCCTTCATTGAGTGGTCCGCATACTGGGCACTCCCTACAAGGTCAGCGGCCATAATCGGTGGATCCAGTTCTAGTAAGCACGCGGTTTTAAACCAAATCCCTACGCAGCAAATTCCTCACCCGCCACGTTAACGCAGAGAGGTTATTGTTACTGAAAGTGAAACCAACTCTCAAATGCATTCCCGTAGTATCACTGACCCGTCCGTAGCTCCGGTGTTGCCAACTGGAAATTATGAAGCAAGAGAACAGCACAATTCAACTATCAGAATCGAAATCGTGTTTGGTGAAATGTTGTACGTCTGTGACGCTTTATCTGAGATCTAAAGAGGTTTTCAAAGGAAAGCGCCAAGTTTCTCCAAATCTTGTGTGCGTGGAGCCAGCACAGTTGCCAAAACAGGGTTTTTTTCGCAATCCAGGGCGCATCCCGTGTGCGCAGGGAGCCTCAGCGTAGCGATCGTGAAGCTCCTATGTCACGCGTTAATTACGCGAACCACTCGCTGAAAAGTCCACTCGAGTCGGAATGAGACAATGACAACGACTCCTAATATCTCGTTTGGCACAATGTTTGTTTGGCGAATTTCGGTGAGGAATCCATCATATTACCTAAATCTACAATTGTGGGAATACCAGAACATTACACCGAGTGTCTGATTCTCTCCATAAACGAAGTTTCGGAAAACCAGAAATTACGAAAGTACTTGCATGGCAAGTTAGCGCATCTCTTAAAGCAAAAATGCGTAGTTATAGATCCAGTGTTGTTCAGGATTGCCAGCGAGTTCCATGACGAGAGAACGAAAAGTTTTAAGAGTATATAAATGCCGTCAAACACAAGATCGAAACTGCAGACGCATTGCCTATAAGGAGACCACTTAATAGTGCAGCGTTTGCACGAAGGGAGGAAATGGTAAACCAAATGCAAAGCATGTTGAAGAAGGGTGTGTGTTCAATGAAAGTAACTCACCATGATCCGCACCCTTAAACTTAGTTCCAAAAAGTAATTTTGATGAAATACGATAATATATATTTTGTGTCTACTTCGGTGCTTTGAATGCAGCGACAAAATTCCATTTGTGTGCCTTGCATTTGTCTAAGCAAAACACATCGACCTTAAATTGCATCGTTTTTCCCGAAGCATGGGGGTCCAAGCTTGCCTCTGTGTTTGGGATGCACGCAGAAACAAATATGTGAAACCTCTGAAATGAAAGCTCTGTGAAGAACTGTTGATAAAACAAGGAGAGATCGTGTGAGAAATCAGGATATTCGAAAAATGTGCAATATCCAACCAATAAATGAATGGGTAGCTCCAAGAGGAGGAGAATGGGATGCCCACATAGATAAAATGGAAGAGAATAGTATCGTCAGAATAGGTAAGGACCGACTGCCAAGAGAAAAAACGAATGCTGGCCACCCTAAGAAAAGATGGGAAGATGGTTTTTAACCTGAAAGAAAGAAAGAAGACACAAGCACAGACCAGCAGTGACTCACATCCCAAAATCGGGATGTGGTGAGTACTTCCTCCAATAAACGTACGCGCAGCAGAGGGTTCAGAACTAAGTTGTGCTATACATAAACATTAACAACACATTAAACTGCAGACGCCAGCTCTTTAAGGTGGTGAGGCTGAGGTAGACGACATCATTGGTCACAGTTAACATGAAGGTTGTATAGTGGCTGAAGATCACTCAGCCCAGGTTGCCACCATCTCAGCAAAGACAATTTAATGTCTGCATGATCGTTCACCTCTGCTTAGGCATGTGAACGTGAGGCCAGCAGCCAGCTAGTCTCGGCTTTGACTCTCAGAGGGCTGTTACGCCACGGTTTATAGAAATGCTGGAAGTACTGACTTGACATTAAAGTGTCCATAGCCACATTTGAAATGTTGCATCCACGTAGTGCAAGACAGATACCTTGGGACTCCACATTCAATATGGAAGCTGGATTCCCTGGCTGTGGACCCACTGCACTCAAAAGGTATAATGTTAGTTGGGAAATTGTCACGAAAAACGGCCACCCACTGCTTGGTTTATCCAGTGACGTGGAGATGCCCCTGGGACACGAAGTCCAATAGCTTACTAACACAAGTGAGAGTAAGTTGAATGGTCCCAGCCATGGAATCAACGTGGAGTCTGGTGAGTGAGTTGCAGAATGAATTTTCTCAAGTCCAATTGTCGCAGGAATCGTACCGTCTGCTGCAAGCTTTTACAAGCTAAATTGCCAAGGTATGCGATTATGACAATGGAGAAACAGTGGCTGAGAAATGAGTTGCGTGATCATTGGACCAGTGAGTCACCCTCCGGCAAGCATTTCTGACAAAGTCAACATCCCCTTGTACCAAATGCCGTAGAATTTGCAGTGTTCTGGACACATCTTAAACCAGAAGAAGCCATTCTTTAAATCATTTTTGTATACTTGATCACATGCCGTCTCAGTGGCGGCGCGAGACCGTGGGTTCGAATCCCACTCAAGCCATGGACGTTTTTTTCTGTGTTGTGCTGTCCTGTGTACAGGTAGAGGCCTTGCGACGGGCCGATCCCTCGTCCAAGGAGTCCAACCCGCAGATGCTCAAGGCACTGAAGAACGGGTCGCCTAAGTATCAAAGTATCAAAGTTGATCACATGGAGAAACAAATGGTCAGCTTCTCGTAGTGTTCAGCCCAAGAAGAGAAATCAACAGTAAATCTAGCTGCCTCAGACTTATTGGGCACCAAAAAGGTTTGAAAAGCTGCTGCTGTTTCCTTATCTTTAAGGATTCCAGCTTTGAAGAGATCTTTGAAGACCTTGTCTAAGAGGCAGGAGGCCCAGAAACATGTTTTGTGTGCTCTGCATAGTTTATAATATGGCATCACTCTGTATAATGAAGAAATAGTTACCACCTACATCAAATACCATTTATGATTGTAAGTTGATGAGTGATATAGGTACCTATTATCATAGTAAAACAATGTCATTAAGTGACAATAAAACATCATCATTTGTGACAGTGGCTTGGAAGCCAATAAGAAAGGTTAAATGTGGTCCAAGGTCATCATTAAAAAATCAACATAAGCTGATGATGGCAACATTAAAGGCAAAGCAATATTGAGTTTGGCAACGATTGTTTATAGCTTAGAAAACCACGCGCACACATCCTACATATCTCATGTTTTTATATCATCTCAAGTAATTTCCTAAAGTGCTCAGGGAGACCAAGACCTAACGATTACGTCAACTAACAAACAGCGGGACTATGAAAAGGGAAGAGAAGGAAGTCAAAATAAATAATGTATACACAATGTAACAGAAATACATCAATTAGTTTATTTAATTCTAGAATAAATATTTCTGTAAAGTGAGCTTTAAAAAACTGACTGTTAGTATCACCTGGAATTTATATAATACAATTGGGGTCAAGGATTTATTTACTTTCGAACAAAAAGTAAGAAAACAGTCTGCGGTTACAAAAAATATATGTATATATGTACACTGTGCTACCTAATTATAAAAACATGTAATTAAATTAATATCAAGGGCTTAACAAGACAATACAAAGGGAAAATATACTTGGAGAGTTGGGACATTTGTTATTTTAATGTTACTCATTAGCTGCCTTTTAGTTTTGCAAATATGCAGTTGTAATGTAAATGGTTAAATTTCTCTTTACAAAGAATTTGTTACAAAACATTTATCTGGGGCAATTTGTATACCTACAAACCGACGTAGCACCACGATAACATTTTAGTTTCTGACGTAGCCAAAAGGAAGCAAATTAAGCCACTGCGTTAATTCCAAGTGAAACTACTTAAAACTGGTAATTGATGCTCAGAAAATGTTCCAAGTAACAATGTAAATATGGAAACTCAGGGCTACAAATGTTGTAATTTTCAACATCTGCCACCAAACAATTATGAAAATTTTAAAGTAAAAATGCCTAGCAGAAATTTTAAAATAATTCTCAAGCAATATACTGCCATTCATTTCAGTTTTTGTAATTACTGAATTCAACACATTCCATGTACAAAAGATGTCTTTATCTACTATCGAATGCCGGTAAGTAAAATTACAAATATTATTTATTCAGGATGTAATTTAATGAATACAAGGATTATTAAAATGCAATTTCACTTCCCATGAAACTTGTTTCTGAAGCTTTTTTGGAGACTGTTACTGTTTTATGCGACTAAAATATAAACATGGATTTCATTTACTCCATTTCCATTAGAAAGTGTTTTCTAAAATAATTTTACCTGGTCTTAATATGTGTAATTTGATAACGCAACAATCATGTTCTTCATTTGCTGTGGCAAAAAAACAGAAAAATAAACTACTTCAATAATAAAACAGGAGAGGGTGAATTGGGTCAAAGCCTTAAACCTATTCCACATCTACAGGGGCTACTCAATATTTATTTATAGTTCTAATATATAATTAATATGTAAATGCAATTGTCTGTAAGTACTTGTGACTGATAAAAACCACATCCACATAGCTCTCTTCACATTGTTGTCAGGTACTAAACTATTCATTGCATTCTGAAATTACTTGACTGGTCCTACATTTGCCGAGAACTAATACATTAAACAGAAATAACAGTTTTGTATCCCAGAACCACATTTTTTATAGTATTAAATGGACAAAAATATTCGTTAAACTTATTAGAGTATGGCATGAAATAAGGCAATCATTTGGTCGAATCATAGACATATTCTTCGGCCAACCGACATCGAAGGATTCTGGATCCTCCAAGAATGAATTATACGGAAGACCGCCACCCACTATAAAGGTCCATGCAGATTCCTTCTCACGGAATTAGAATGCTTCATAGGAAAGCAGTTTAGTTGATGCTGATTAGTTGTCAGTGCCATTAGTTTGTTTTTGTGAATGAGAATATGGGCTCAGATGCTTAAATAAAACTGGTCACAAAAATAAGAACCCTCATCGTATTCCATCCGCACCTTAGATTATGCAACCTTGTAAATTAACCAGTTAGCACAGCATATTGTTGAACAACTGCATTTAGACATTACACCGCTAACAAACATTTTAAAAGAATCACCAATCTTGAAAGAACGATGTATAAAGTGAGGAATGATCACAGAGTTCCTTGTGATGTGTACAGTTCTTTTAATACTGTTCTGTTGTGATGGTCTGGACATGTAGCCAGCATAGAAAAAAAAACAAGGAATGCATACAGAATTTTGATAAGGAAAGCTGTTGGAAACAGGTCTTGTGAAAGACCAAAACAGGAATGGGAGAATTATATAGATTCTGTTACCAGAGATATAATATCTCATTTAATTCCCATATAAACATTCTGGTTTTGTCTGATGAATATTTAGTGAGAAAAAGAGAGAAAGACATTTAACCTTTCAAATAAAATTATAGTCCTACTTAAACTCTGAACTGTCATCTGCTCACTGGACAAATTAAGACTAAAATGTTTCTCTTGTTTTCCCAAAGATTAAAATGTTCTGTATGTTGTTTTATGTCTGTAAAATTTTAGTTGATGAACACAATTTTAGCTAACTGTGAAATACAGGTAATTACACAAGAGGGATTTTGCAATATATACCTTCCATGCTGTAAAGCTGGCAGTTATAATTGGCTCAACACAAAGCAAGGGATTGTGGGACAGGATTGAACTGAAATGGTAGTTAAAGAAGACCACATGGAAAGACCAAGACATGACATCTGATATTACCATATGAAGGATATAGTTTCTGTTTTAGCAGTGTTAAATGTTGTTTTTATAGCAAGTTAGTCATAGAATATGGAATAATTTGTAAATTGTCCCACTCATCTAACAAAGAATTTTCTGAAAAAGACCACCTCACAATCTAATTGCAAAGTTTGATTTAATGCCAGTGTAGGACATGAAACTCTTTTTCCAATTAACAAGCACACGCGCGCGCACACACTTTCCTTAAACAGTACACAAATAGTAGTTTTGCATTAGTGAGCAATGAATGCTTTAGACCAATTTTGATGATGAAAGGCTTCCAGTTGTGACCAAGCCTTGCTGCTCCAAGACAGTAATAATTAACACAATACTCTCCTTCATCACATGTAATAAGGGACTTAAACTCCTGTACTATGGGGCTGCCAGCTGAATCTTAAACTCTGGGATTAATGGGTTAGTGGTATGTTAGCTGGATAGTATGTAAGCAATGACGCATGCATGACAAAAGCTAAAATGGGAACCAAACCTTAGCTGGTCTGTGTGTAACCCATTACTTGGTCTTTATTAAACATTTTATTTCTTGAGCCAAAATATCCTAAATACAACTTCATATTTGAGGCTTGTACAATAATCTATTATATTTGTGCCACCAATAATTTGATCAAATGAGATGTCTGACCAAGCCCAATTTGTTTCTGCTGTACATCTCTTCCTTGCAGTACTTAAAATGATTGGGAGGTTAAAATCTTAGCTTGGGTACAAATTATTCTAGCAAAAGTATGAAGTAATCCTCATGCTAGGGCAGCTGGTGTCTCAAAACAGGTGGTGGCCCCTTCCCCCCAAAACTTTTGCAGCCTTAGTGTCATAAATAATTTCATACAAATCCATCTTACTAAACTGTGTTACAAGGAAAGAAAGCGTTACCAAAAAAGAATAAGGAACATGAACTGGATTCAACTTCTCTAAATTTCAGAATGATGAAAATAAATGAAAATAGCTGTTATTTTAGCACTGAAAAGTTCAAATGACAACATGCACATGCTCTATTTTACATTATTTAAAACCTAACCTAATTTATTATCAACATATACCTGCTGCCCACTGACATAATTAAAAATCAATTTGCCAATATTATTCCCCACAAATCATGGTCTTCTCTAAATTTCCAAAACACCAATAAATAATAATAACAATAATACTGTATTAAACAGAACACAAAAATGAGTATTGCAGAAGGTAACCCATAACAGAATAAGGGTATAAATCCATAAACACACGTAAGTTGTCTATTAAATTTTCACTTTAATAATAAGCATAAGGCATCCCGAATATTGTGAAAAGTTATTCATTCCTATATTGAATTAGCTATGGCAAACGTAGACCAGAACAAGTAGGGAAGAAAAGGGCAGAAGGGTGAGGGATGACTGATTTCAACACGACAAAGCTTCAACCATGTCACACTATCACTGTCTCTTGTTCTCTGAGGTAGCTGCACTATACATCACTTTTCCCATCACATCATAATATAGTTCTTCATACTTCAGCTCACAATAAACCCATGTTATTTACTGGAAACATTTGGTTCCCTCTTTGGTGATAAACAAAATGAGGCACACCCAAGTTATCTTAAGTAAATAAAACAAATCACTGTGGATTCACATCACAGGCAATACATTAAGACCTTTGATACATAAAACTCAAAGCACTTTTAAATAGAACAATGTGAATAACAGTTTAAAACAATACAGCAAGTATTTAACACAAGGACAAAGTGTCTAACGGAAGATTCATACGTGAAGTATGCTAGTACTTCACCGAAACCAAGCGTTACACTCCTGACCAAACATATCAAATATTAAAGTAGCCTTATAGCAACAAACTGAAACAAAACATGCCCTATAACCACTTCAAATATACTATAAAAATAGATAAAGAAATATGCTCAAGTTTTAAAATTAATTTATATTTTCTGTTTCCATTAGCTCCATCCATTAATTTATTGAGGATTTACACATTCGCAAATTGGTAATTACCAGAGTTTATATTCCAAAAATGCCCTTACACAATGCAGTTATATAATTTTCTCCTTATCATGTGATCCTTATGGCATGCTCTTCCTGCACATATGAAGCACACATTATTTCTTTTATTCTAAAAATCAGCCAACACACCTTCCTTCTGTAGACATGTTGTGGTGTGAAATTGTCAGATAAATATAATATCCTACCCTGAAGGATGTGCATCAGCTGCAGCTCAGCACTTTCTTCTTCAGAAACAAAGCTAATACTAAAAGAAAAGTCGTACCAGAACACAGTTTGTCAAGTTATGAATCCAAATATTCCTAATCAAGTGCCTGTTATTTAAATGGTGTGAATCCACTGCCCAAGATTTTGCTTATAAAATGTATAAAAAAATTACACGCTACATACACACCATCCACAAGTATCATGGGTTTACTGGTGAGCTCAGAAATGACAATACTGAATTCACTAGTACGCTGTCTTCATGGCTAAACTTATTTTGACCAATTGATCCATCTGACATAAGCCACCTTTGACTTCTTCACCATCTGCTATTCACACTCCCACATACCAAACTGTGTGCAATGTTCAATTACAGTTACATCATCAAAAGATTGCATGTGAAGTTCAGTAAAGTTCAAGATACCTACAATGAAGCCCTCATTTCAGTACGAGTAGGCAAATTTGTTAACAATGTCCATATTCCAATTTCAGATTTAGTACTATATCATTTCAATAGCATCAGCTAATGGAAACTGAAGAAATTTTCAAACAAGACATTTCCATAACCCTTTATTGGCCAGCCACAACTTCATCTGTGCTCTGTTTAATATGGTAATGTCTTCTACATACATTTATTATACACACCGTCATAACCGGCAGATTAGCAGAAGCAGTATTTTATTAACTGAATTAAATGACACTCAGCGGGGTTCTTCATTTCAGCAAAATGAAACCAACTCCAAAATTCTAGTGTGAGAAATGAAGTTTATTGTATTATTTTTAAGTAATTAGAATGTTCATTAGATTTTTTCAGTCATGGCAACATACCAGATGATGATGATGATGCAATTCAAGCATGAATAATTATTATACAAGTCTTTACTTTCCTCATCAAACACAGCACAGATTTTTAAAAAGGTTATGGAATGAAATTTCATTGTGGACCTTGAAATGAGTAAGTAAATTCAAAAAGTGGAATGCAACAGGACACAGCCCAGGCTGAATTCACTACCATACAGTAATTTTCATAAAATATCTGAATTTCAAAGACTTCCAGCTCATACCACATTATCCTAAATTAAATCCTCACTTGCTAGTCAAATATTGTCCACCCAGTAACTGTCCTCCTTAGCGCCTATGTAACACCATAATCTGCTTGTAACATCAGAATTATTTGCACATCATTCATATTTAGTGCTCAAACATTCCCAAGTGTTCTCTTTATTCAACATATATGATTCATGTGCAGGATAAACCACCACATAGACCTGCGATGCATGAACTTGCAAACTGAACTGGTATAAACCATCTTGAATGCATACATATGTCTGACCCCACAGACAACATTTTGGCCCACCATACATTACTCATAATAGTCAAAGAAACGTCGTTTGGCCCACTGCAAGTAGCATTATCGACAACTGCACTTATGTATCACGCAGTCAACAGCTTCTGTCACCGATTCAAACACCGGTATGCCTTCACGATTTGCCAGATCCGACAGGTACATGCGGCCTCGGTTGTAGTCCTTCCCAGCCTGCTTAGACAGCTGAAAGAATAGTAGCTTTCAATATTATGGAGTGGATCCCTCATAGTACCTATCTATTAAAAATTGAGACTTTAATTAAATATTGAAAAAAATGGGTAGAAGACAAGGAAACATCCTGTCATTCATTATTTCTTGCTAATACCAACAGATATCATGCCATAGATATTACACAAGGAAACAAATTAAATGGCTACATAGTTTAGAACAGTGGTATTCAACTTTTTTGTTTGCGTACCCCCAGATATAATTTCTCTTCAACTTTGTATCCCCAAAGTTGTTGGTGTATAATTCAAGTTATACATAGTATATAATCTACATCTAAAATAAATTACATACAAAATAATGTATTAAATAATAAGTTTTAAATAAGAAAACGGAGAATCAAGCTATTAAATAACAAATATATTATTTTCTATCATATAAAAATTAATAAAGGAACAAAGGTATTTTAGCAAAGCAAAATTATATGTATAAATCCCGCCCAATAGTGTTCAGTGTGGAATAAAATGAAACTAGCCGCCCATATAAGAATTGCATAGGGGGAGAGAGAGAGAGAGAGAAATGGTGCTCCCAAATTGAATGTCCTTACGTCCAGTTCTCCTGTGGCTAACCCTAAATCTGGCCCTGATTATTCAGTGTTAATCATAAAATAATAGATATATGTTTTTTTTAAATTTCACGTACCCCCTAAGATGTCTTCGCGTACCCCAGGTTGAATACCACTGGTTTAGAACATGAATATAAGGATAATTCAAACAAAAGCAATTGTTCTGCTATACCATATTCATTACACATCACATTTTTAAAAAGCTGCTTTCTTTAAAAATATCTTCCAAAGATTCACCACCGTGGACAAATGATTCTGGTTGGACATGCAACAAATTTTGTAACACATACTATAAATAGTACAAAAGTGAAGACCACTGTAGCTTAAAAATTCTACAGAACTCACAGATGCTCAGTGCAAAGTCTGAATGGCATGAGTATGTGAGAGCTTCTGCGGACAGTTCGACTGTTATAACCATTGACTGAGATACGTGTTGACACACCCTAGGACAGCAAATGCACCTAATGTACGGTATTTCCCATTTATTGTGGATACCATCTGAGTAAATCTCTCTACAGTGCCATCCATGTTTCAGAAAAGTCAACCTGACCTTTCCAGCAGATGGTGCCACTCAAAACCTTCTGGGCTTTGGTAATGAATAATGATACCACTCTTTGCTAGCTCATTTGGTTTCAGGTTGGAAGTGGTGCAACTGTTAACTAATTACTTGGCATTATAAATTCAAGAAAATCATTGTTCTCTACACCATGGTGGGCCAGCAAGGCTCTACACATGTCTGCTTCACCAAATGTGAACAATATTTATTGAATACAAGCTCCTTATGGACCAGATTATGGGCTGAACTAACATTCACTTCAATGTCACAGTTATGATATCCAAGTTACATGCAATTTTCTTAAATTAGATTTCTGCTTCTGCAATAGTCAGAACTGATGTTGAGGTATGCTTGACCAGGCCTTGAAGCATCATGTACACTGTCTTTAAATGTTTGCACTGAGTAACACAAATGATCTTGATGTTGAATTTCTCAATTCTGTATATCTGCTCCGCCTGTTTTCTAACCAAGAGTCAATTTTGATATCACAGTCCGCTCCCCTATAAGATCGCACGTCCACGATGTTTGTCTCTATCAATTAGAACATGTTCATTTACTTAAATTATGATTACAAAACTGCTTATATTAGCATGCATGTCTGTTTTGCATTATTAATTTCTTTCACCTGTGCCATTACAGACAACACAATCACTATACTTTCAAACAACCTGCCATGAGTACCAGAATACTGATTGTGCTGGATTGTCACACATTCTTGCATGGGAAGACAAAATATTTTGAACTGAGAAGTAGCAAGCATTTCCAGAATTTAGTCTCCTCCTAACTTCTTCATGAGCATCATTTTGATCTGTTGTTCCCAAATACTTGAACTTTGTCACACTTTCAAAGGCTACTACAAGACACATCACTCAAGGGAAAACATCACATGATGGATGGATTGTATGTGGGTTTTCATTATGAACAGAATGCCTCACCTTATCACTCCCAATTATGGCATCATCCGGTAAATGCTGGACACACAGCACCACATTGCAGTTCAGACCAATATAATGAGCTGCCTGCAATCCAGAACAAATTGTATAAACTGTTACCATGTTCACAAACTCTAATAATTCACAAATAAACAGATATCTGTAGACAATGTACTTCGTTTCTCAAACACCTTTTTCCTGTGATACTGAAAATAAAAGTGTAAAAGCTACAATTCAAATCAATGCTGGCAGTTATTAAAGCACAGGAGAAATTCTGTATTCCTTGTCTCTCTTTGTTGCAATTAATTTATAAGAAACCTTACGAAAAATTATTCACCTAAGATTGTCGATGAATTAGTCATGTGTACAAGACCATTCAATTACATCAATAAAAAATGAATACTTCGTGATCTTGAAACCTTGCATAGACTAATGTGAAGTCATAAACTCTGAAGAAGCATTTTGTTTCTGTACTAGTGCCAGCTATTACTGTGCACCATTTTATGTACCTTATTGCCACTGACTGTCATGGTTGAATGACTAAAACTCCTTCAAATGTGGGAAGTGCCAGGTTTAGTTCTTGACACAGAAGATGACTATCCTGACTGATGTGTTACATGGTTCTCTTCAGTCCATCCATGAATATGTCTTACAATAGGCCTCAACCACTTCTTTCCATATCCTTCCCAATTCATCATTCATAAGCATCCTTCCATTCAACACTATATACCCTATGTAGTTGAGATGAAAGTTATTAAATAAACTAAGAAGCAACAATTTTATTGTCACAATATTGTTTTCCCTTTTACTTTATGACACTCTAACAACTGTTTAAATATGAAGTCTAAAGTTTCAAGTGATAACCCAGTAACGTATAAAATGGTATCACTACATACCCATAAAAAAAGGCTAGGTACACAAAAATGTAACACTTTTGCAAATAATATGACGCAGCATCAATAACTCAAGGAGAACATGGAATGAATTAAAGGAAATGTAGCACAAGAAATGTTACATTACTTCAGCTGCGAGAACTCATTAATTCAAAACGATAATTGTACTACTGCAGCAGATATCTCAGCCAATATATGATATGATAATTATGAAGAAATGTTGCCTGTGATCATGTAATTCTGAGATCACTGGAATGATGTAGTTCAGTGTTTTTGTTTGTTATATACGTCTGTTGTTATGGAACAACTGTTACATGGGTGGGAGAAGCACATATAAATATATAGTGCATTACTCAAGATATACCACTTAATTTTATACATGGCAATTCTTAATTACATGCAATATATGAAGGACTGCGTTCTGTTCCTAAAATCAAGCAAACAAACTACAAACATGGTCAAAACCATTTTGTTATTAAGCAGGAAGGTTTAAGAAATTAATGAAACAGCATATTTTATGAGAACACTTACTTGACTTCAACAATATAGCATCTTAATGTTTATAAAAGTTACTGAAAACACAGTCTGTTAGTCTGAATGCATTAACTGAACCCTCTGATGTCAAGAATTTTTGGTATGCTACATTATTCCAGCAGCAACATTCCCTCCGAACGTGGTACATACAATATTTCTAGCAGCACGCGCGTGAAACAGTTCCGCACGTTTAGGGTAAACGCGGCACATTCCACGGAAGCATCGGTTAAGTCGCCTTACTTTCTTCCGACTGCGTCACATAATGCCGAAACTGAGAATATCGCTGTCTCTTCAAGTTCCCAACATTCTAAGCTTCAACGAGCAGGCATTTGAATTTCCGTCCCACAACACTGCTGTGGCCGACCAGTCTCCAGTGAGACCATCTACGAATACGATGTGCGATCGGAAAGTTTCAAGACTGCGCGTATAAAATCCCGTACACTTATCTCAGGTATTAAATTCATCCATCACCCTCGAAGTAGTTCCCCTGGGAGTGAACACAACGATCCCAGCGCCGCTGCCAAGCCTGGAAGCATCCCTGGAAATCTTTCTTTGTCAGCCTGTCAAGCACCATCTGCGATTCTGCCTGAATCTCTTCTATCGTCTCAAATCTCCTTCCCTTTAGCTGAATTTTCATCTTTGGGAAGAGGAAGAAGTCACACGGAGCTTAGAAAGGAAGTTGGGGTCGGTTCTTGCAAGATCTTTGAGCTCCTGACAAACGAGAAGTCGATTCTGCTTCTGGTCCTCAGACAGGATGCGTCGCATGTGGAGTTCTTCCTTTAGAATCAGCTGACAGGTCCCATAGCCTATCCCAACAATGTCGCACAAGTCGTTGATGGTACGACTTCGATCTTCGTAACATTTTCGGGCGTTGTGCTCGAAGATGGTCGTCCAGCACGCTCGTCATCATCGACAGAGGTTCGGCCGGCCCTTTTTAAAACGTGAATGCCACACAAACGTTTGTGCACGACCCATTGCGGACTCCCCAAATGCTTGGTTTAGCATTTCATAGGTTTCCGTAGCGGTTTTGGCGAGTCTTTGGCAAAATTTGATGCACACGCGCCATTCCGAAATCGCAGGAGGGTCGGTGTAATGCACTACCAAAACGCCCGTAACTAAGAAACAAATGCTAATTCGATGATGCCGGCTGGCACACTGATTCACTATGAATGTAGGCCGCACCCCCTAGCGGCAGAAGCTCGTACTACATCCGGTTCGCCCTCTATTGACACAGTCTTGAAACTTTCCGATCACACCTTGTATTATTGTCACAATCCCTTGAATTAAATGTGAATGCTTATCTCGCAAGTCAACTTTTTCCGGGTAAACTATGGCCTTTAGATGGCCTAATTGGAAGAAGTCAGCTGGTGTGAGATCATGTGATCAATCAATCTGAGTAATGAGAGTCCAAAAACTGCCATCCCTTGTGGATAAAACAAATAGAAGCTCCATCATGCACGAACCACAAAGTTTGTTGCCAATCATACATCCTCCAGGAGTTGAGGTTAATTCTTCTATTAAAAAATATAAACTGGAGGCCCCTGGGAGTTGAAGCAGTAGTTTGTTTGGTCCTGTGAAGAGCTTTTCAAATATTCCCAGCCAAACATTAATTGTAAACTGCATATCAGGTCTATGCCTAATCACTGTGCAACACTGCCACAACTTGCTACAAAATACTTGTGTCAGTAATTTATAGGAACTTTCCAACATAATTTTAGGAAAAGAACATGATTCTTACAGCCATTGTATGCAATTAAAAATCACTGTATGGAGAGGTTTGTAAAAGACAGGCTTCACCACATAATAAAATATGTCACAAGCTGCCAAAATATATATTGCAAATTCACATAATACTGCAAGCCACAGTCTTGGTTTAATGTTACGTATTTTCAAAGGGAACAAGGATTTTCATAAGCCAAGTCTGTATGTCTAAAATACATGGGCAAACTGATGTCTGAGTGGCCACAGTGCCATCTTTCCTACCACCATGTTTGTGAGGTAAATGGCTACAGGCTAGATGACAGGTTCAATTACCAGCAGAGACATTTCCCCTTAAGGACCTACAGTGGCCTGAAGTCCCCTTTGTCTCCTACCCGGCAGGTAGGCCTACCAAGGGTTCCTTCCCTTTGAGAGTGAAGTCAGTCAGGGCATGATGTTAAAACTAACTTTGCCTTGTGCTGAAGACCAGAATGCATAGACATTTACATCAATATCACTTAAAACACATGAAATTATATATATATGAACTTGCCAACTAGTTGTTTGTTTCTCAGCACTACAAACTTGTTGTGGGTTTAAGGTCGCCTCCTTTATGGAGGTTTCTTGGTTGTGCGTGAAGTAGTGAGCGACCAGCACAATTTCTACTCAATCCTGATTTGACTGCCAGAGCCATATAGCAGTTAATCAGGAGACTTTTGGGTGAGAAATGGCCGCTGAATTTTGTTTATGAAATATCTCGTATCATGCTCGTAATATTCTTTTACATGCCGTAAATCTACGGCGTGGAATCGCTGGCTTTACTACCCCTCCGAAGGAAGTTGTGCTACGGATTTTTATCACCCTCAAAAATCCACCGACCTCGGCCGTGATTGAACTGAGAGTTGACTGTATTATAAATTATCTTTAATTTAGTGTAAATTTGTTAAATGGGTTGGCATGAGGCAAAAGTTTGCAATCCCTGCTCTAAACTCAAGTCACACTTGGAATAGTATGAGTAAAGACAAAAATTCATTTTATTCTGAAACAATGAAATATGAATTCCACACATGGTGCCAAATACAAATTTTATTACAGAATATGGAAAGCAATGTTTGTTTCTACAGAATGACAAACACCATACTTAACAGTAAGGTTGTGGAAACTGAAACGTTATGGTAATGTTTTATATAAAGTTAAAAGAACTCTTGGATAGGTTCTGTGGTCTATTTAAATGTTCTTCAGTACTATATACATACCAGAGCCATGGAAGCTATAGAACGTGTTGTGCTGGTGATAACAAATAATAAGACATAGCTGTTGTCCATTGCAGCTGCCTCAATTGGGATAAAACGTTTGCTCCACTGGCGCAGTTGTGGGTTGAAGTATGTTAGACCACTCTTCCTGTGGGATAAAGAAACAAATATCAAGTTACAATAAATAATAAATGAGTACTCAATTACCATTTACTTCACAGATATTTTCACAAATATCCAACTAAAAACTTAAAAAAAAGCCCTACTGGAATTCCATGTCTGTCATGCCTCCCTCAAAAATTGTCAGATATATTTAAAACAACTTCTATATGGGATTCCAGATTAATGAAAGATAGTGACAAAATAAGAATTAGTGCATCAGTAACTAACACTTTGCCTGAAGGCCTACACCAATTCCGCAAAAAAATTACAGATCTCAAAGCACAAATATTCAGTCAAGTACTTCTCCTGTAACTTTTATCCATTTTGAGAAAGTAGACAAATTCAATTTAAGCAAAGACACTGCTGTAACCATGCACTATTCATACCAGATTTTTATTTTGCCCTAAGAATTATTATTCTGGTATGTATATGTGCATATACACACAGAGATCTGGTCCATTGAAGCCAAGGTTTCTGGTATCATGCAAAGGTCTGTGTGGCACTGAGGTGGTGATGGCAGTGTCACCAATGATCCCCCCAGTGCATCGGGCACATCCCATTGTATCAGCGCCTTCCACCCACACAGGGCATGTTTGTTCCCCAGTTCTTGTGAAACACAAGAAATGACACAGAAGTGTCAGAAGCCATATTAAATATAAAGACTAAAGTTTCAAGTGATAACCCAGTAACGTATAAAGCGGTATCACTACACACCCATAAAAAAGGCTGGGTACACAAAAATGTAACACTTTTGCAAATAATGTGATGCAGCATCAGTAACTTAAGGAGAACATGGAATGAATTAAAGGAAATGTAGCACAGGCTTCAAGTGTATCATTATTATTGTTTTTGTTGTCTGCACGGACTTTGATATATTTGAAACAAAAATGGTTTCCCTTAATCACATTCTATAATAACTGTGGTACTATCCAAATATTAGATATTAATTACATTCAATACAAATTTATATGTATTTTCCCCCTTCTTACCTCCACTACTCACCATTCACTATGTGTTATCATTCTAATTATGTAAATTCTCTGCTTTAGTAACTTAACCATTTTGCATATTTTCTTCTCCTTATAAGATTTGAGGTTTTCATGGCAGTGAGTTAGAAGATGGCTGTCGCTGACTCATCGCCCTAATGATGGAGGCATAAAGGACCTCTGAAATGTCAGTAAACTTCTACCAGATTACACAGTGCAACAACCCAGAAGACAGCCATCTGTATTCTCTTTTTCATCTAATTGACTTAATTTAATTTAATTATTATTACAAAGATATTGATGTACTAAGTAGCAAGTTGCCTTTGTGTATTAACCTCCTTTACATTCATGTTTTTTATAACCTGTTTCTTATTTTGCTATATTTATTACTACATTCTTCTCTTGTGCTTAATCTATCTATAACTGGCCTGCTGGATGTTGATGTAGCACACAATAAAGAACCGAAATAAATTGAATTATTGTTATTATCATCATCATAATCATAGTAGAATAAGAAAAGGAAGAAACATTCAACATTTGTATCTAATTTCATAAACTTTGGATATAAAATAAACTCTTGCATAATATTTTAGTTGACTCAGTATAATAACTTTTGCAGATACAAAACTTATCAAACTATAAGAACCCTCCAATATAAGGCACAGAACACTAAAATAAATAATGTTATTACTTGTTCTGACAAATCAGTGAAACTACGGCCCTACAAACCCATAGTTGTGTACTCTTTGTAGCCATGGGATCCAGTAGATAAACTTAATGTAACTTGTACCTTCAGTCAGTGGGACACTTAAAAATTTAATTCTACTGAACCAATTCACAAACATGCATGCATGCACACATGAACACAAAAAACAATGACAGATAATTCATCTTTAAGTGTTCTGTGTATCCACAGAATTGCAGCTGAACTCTGTTTATGGGTATCTAAACAAATGGATAACACTTTTCCAACTCCTGTGATAGAGGGAAGTAAATTTCACCATCTGATGTTTCTGCAACCTCACAATAACTGAAGGTGACTAGGAAACGTGGCAAGTGACAAAAGTGTTTGTGCACGGTGGAAAGGCCATGCCCCTACAGAGGTGCCAAATAATGTCCCCATTTATGTATAAAATAACCATATCTAGTTACTGCAGGTTGAGTGCCCCTATAGGAACAATGACCCCTCATCATGCAGGGTCAGTACCCACCACGGGTATAACACCTACCCCCTGGCCCCTTGGCCATGCACGTTCAGTAACCTGTAGGAATAATGACCCCTCACGCAGACTGAGTACCCCATAGGAACACAAGACACATCATACAGACGTAAGTGTGCGCATTCACACACACACAGACACTAGTAAATAGCACCCAATCCAAACAATGACCCCTGGTCATGCAGGTATTCTACAGCCTTGTGAAAGATGCAAGACAGACACAGATAAGCCCATAAGGTGTTCTTTGCTCACATTAGAGCATGAACACCTAATGAACTTAATCCCAATTTAAAGCCGTATATTACATAATGACTTACAATGGCCAAATCTTACAAAGCTTCAGACTACATTGCAGAAGTATAGTAGTAGAACAGGACGATCAAAAAAATCACACAACCTATATTGAAATACAGTATGTATTAATGGTTGCAATTTGATACGGATTGATTAAATTAATAAACACCCAATATCAAGAGCCCATGAAGGCAACCCACACATGTCATATCATGTTGTAATCTGCTCACATCTGTCCATCAGTGTCTTAAGACAGTAAAAGTGCAAGGATGTATTTTCACATGTACAATGAGTGTTCATCGTCGAACACTACCTGGCATCTCACTCTTACATAACTTGCCAAATGAGTTTAGGATATATGTGCAAATTCTCTTGTGCCAAACAAATTGACAATTTCTCATCTGGTGAACTGTTTCCATGACACAGAAGTTTGCAGGACAGAAACAGTCCCAGTCAACCTCTGGTATTAAGTAACAATAGTCTGGATTAGACACATGCATCGCTGAACAAGGTAGACATTTCCAGCACACTGGTTCTTGTTTTCTGATTATAATGTAATTTATTTCTTGACAAATAAAACATGTCAGGAGGAATGGGTTGCATGACTTTTTTGATTATCTTGTATTCACATCTTAAACAAGAAACACTTATATGGCATGGCAACTTATGAGTACCTGTAGCAAAACAGCAAGTCACTTACTTCAACATAGGGATGGCAATATCTTCTCTCCAGTTAGTGTTACGACAGGAACCACCCAGATAAACATCTCGTACACAGTTGCTCTGGGTGTTGGGAGGAGAGCCCAGTGGCAATGACCGCAGCGGCCGAGATATTGCCCACTCTATAATACAAACAATGTAACTTTATATTAATACTGTGTAGCTTGCACTTCTAAGTGATAGAAACATACATGAAGCAACATGTAACTACTTTTAATAAGAGCATTTACCTTGGGAATTACTTGACATGTGCTGTCTCAGGATAATCTCATAAAGGATAAAACTTTACACTGAAATTATCTATTATGAAACTGAAGCCCATAATTGGATTATATCCTGGACTAGCTGACTCAAATTTAAATCAACACAATGTCTTGAACCCTTATAGTCCAAACACTATTAATTGAAAGCAAAAAGAAGTACATAAAATGACAGCTATGATAAGGTCAATCACTTGTTTTGTGTGTGTTTTTATTACACATCAATATCTGCAATGAATCATTCTCAAAGACAAACTTGCTTATCTAAAACTGTTATCTGTAAAGTTAAAGGTAAATGTTCAACCTCTTATCAAAATTGTGGCAAACAAAATTTGGTATATAAATATTGCTTTTCTCTAGTATATGTGCATGTGCACAAGCACAAAAAAACACAAAATTATTTTTGAAGTCACACTCACAGATGAAGATTATTTTAGTAAAGTCAATGTATCTTAGTCTTGAAAGAGGCTGACTTCTGTGAGATTTTTAACTAAAACTTTGAATTTATGTTCTTTGTTTCTCTGCATTCTTCACTGTGTGCTTCCCTATTTCCTTCATGCACATGGTAATATCAGAATAAAAAGATGTTCATCCCCTTCTCCCTTAACAAATTTACAATTATTCACTGTTTACATTTTGAGCACTGAATTCAGAGAACAGAACATGAACCATGACAAGAGGTTATATATTAAGATAAACCCATACACTGAGAAACCTCAAATAAAATGTGGAAAGGGATGTTGTAATCTACCTATTCATTATGTAAAGGTCCAACAAAATACACATAGATCCTATACACAGCAGAGTAAGTGTGAGAGAACTGTACCATACGCACATAAATCCATTATGTAACACAACATACTTTCAAGCACAAAAATATTTAAAACAATAATATTTTGTATGACTTAGCGTGGCTCCAAATGACAAATTTGTAGCATATTTAAAATTTCAGCAAGAAAGGACAATGTTAAAAATAAATTGTTTTGCGGTTATTTCATATTTGTGCAACTATCATAAATGCACATAAAATAAGGCTTCATTGAAGTGAAAAACAATTTCAGAAATAAGGATACTGAGAATCAGAAACATGAACACATTGAAATTATGTTCACATGAAGAACAGTCTCCTTTCATCCCTCCACTAAGCTACAATAATGCAGAGTAACTCAACCATACACATGTTTACCTTACACTAATCTTTTCCTTTTAACACTAATAATCAAACGACAGCCAGATTTATTCTTTGATGTAAGTTGGAATGTCTATACTGGACTTGCATAGATATGGTATTTAAATTAGCAATGCAACAACAAAACAGGCAGATTGTACACACAAATATAATTTGAAATGAATTAAAACAACTTAGTACACATAACATACAACATGCTGTGATCATATCAGTGCTGTGTCACAGAACACTTTAAGCTGTAAACAAAACCATAAATTTTTAATATTAATTACTACAGAATATTATTTTGTATCAAGCATCTCAATTTCACAAATCTGAAATCAGCAAATGAAATGCATTCCTTGACTGCCCTACAGAATAATTATTGACGTTACTACTTCTACCTTCTACCATAACAGTGTTTTGAATCAGAATATCATGAAAATTACTCAATATTTGTGTTCTGTTCAATACTGGATGTTTCCATTTCAGTTTGCTTGCTCATTCATCCTAGTAGCATAACACAGGTGTGAAGTTTACTAATGAGACTTAAAAGTAAATTAAGAACATTTAATCTGTACAAGTCCATACTAACTGGATTCCCAAACTAGTGCTTTTAAAACCATGGATCAAACCCAGTTACAGGATATAGACTACATAATTATAAAACGACTGAAAAAATGTAGTTCGTGTGTTGATGCCTCACTCTTCTGAAACAATAACAATGGTATCATGTACACAATTTGAATTTAGACAAATTCACACCAAATATTACTTTTCAAGCATGAAACATGAACACAAGCTAAAAAATAGATACAACTCATGAAATAAATAACAAAAAATGCAATTCTCAAGACATTTTTGTGTATGCCACTAGATCATGGCTTACTAAATTTAAAAAATGTTGTTCTAAAATAAAATAAGCAACTATATCTACAGTCCTTTCAGCACAAAACCAAACACCTAGATTATTTGGTAAAAAATACATTTCAGGCTGACAAGCATGTAAAAGAAACAACAATATAATAGCATCCAAACAAAATTACAGTGAAAATTCAATTACTGCCTACTAAACAGTTTGCGTCCTAAATCTCTTCCACTCAATACCAGTGTTAACAGTGATAATGGTTATCAGCATGTAATAACTGCAAATTAACCATAATTAGGAAGTGTTCTGAGTCAGTTAAAAGTACTGTTCTAATATTTGCCCACATAAACTAGAGAAAATTATGCAAAGCTTCAACTACATATGTAGATGTAGATCGGTGTTACACACTGTAGCAACAGGTAATGAACAATATTAAAACAGAAGAACAAGGTTGCAGATATGATTTTTTTTAATTAATATTATCAAACAATAGGCAATCATCAGGCAATTGTTAAAAGTAGTTTCTGATTACGATAAAAACATTCACATTAATGCTTACAGCATTCTGCTTGAAATGAGAAACTTCTGCATTTAAATATTTTTCTTTGAGGAGGCAAACTTATCATGACACTGGCCAAGCTAACATGAATAACTGCATCACATTGAGAAACCACATATTCAAGAAAATCACAGATAACATAAATAAAACTACAGCCCTAATCTGACATAACCTAACTAACCGAACCTAACTTAATCTAATCTCATCCCACAAAACTTCGCCTGAAATAACTCTCAATTTCATAATTGTAATTTTTTTCATTTTTAATTATTTCAAATTTTCAAAACTTCAAATTAATTAATTCAAAAATTTGCAACACTTTGAAATTTTACAAATTTCCAAATCTTCTAAATTTTAAAATTTTGTCAACACCCACAATTTTAAATTTTTTTTTTAATTTCAAAATCCACCATTAAAAATTTCACCATTTCCATATTAGAAATTCCAACATTTAAAAATCATATTTAAACATCTATCCCAACCTAAACTTCCTGAACCAAAACGAAACAAACCTAACAATTCCTATCATGTCTTTACCTAAACTGACCAGACTTGACCTAATATAAAATAGTGTCCTAACCTCATCTAACCTAGCCTGTCCTAACAACAACAAAGAGTAAAACACTTCAGGTTATTCCCACTAACATCAATATGAATGATTACTACAGTAAACATGGAATACAGTTAAAGAACAAATAACAGTAGTAGCCAAAAAAATATCCTGCACTATAGAGTGAGTGAGTCAATGGTAACCACTGTAATCAAATTTGTACTTTGGTAGTTCATACTTTGGTCATCAAATTTCAGCACTTCAATGTCCATCTCACAACTTTCTTCATTTGTCATTTTATCATTTCTTGTTGGATATTAAAAGGTATAATTTTTAGGTTGTGCACAATGGCACAACCTCTACAACAAATTTCATCCTAATCTGTCCAGTGGCTCTCAAGCAAAATCGACTGGACAGACACAACCAGCTCAAAATGCATTCTCCCTATGCACTTCACACAAAGAACACAATAAATGGCATTGTTGCCCATTGCCTTTGACCAATCAGTGCCACCCAACATATTCAGTATGTTGCACCTACACAGTACATCTCAGTCTGATGCTGTAAACCTTGGATGCCCTATGCATAACTAATTTCCAATATACTGTTTGTTGTGCTGACATAAACAATCCGAACCTTATATTATGTTGATGAGAGACTCTCAGGTTACAAGCTGCGTCAGGTGGCTGAATGGTGAATAAACCATACATTCTGCCAGTTTCCCATCAGCGAGTGTGCAACAAAGAATTGAATTTGTTACCCAGCAGCCCTGAGGATGAGAGCAGAGATTGTTCTCAAAATGTTGGCAGAAGATATGGTTTATTCAACATTCAGCCACCTGACACGGCTTGTAACCCAAGGTCTTTCATCACCTTCAGTCGCCGCAAAAGCTTCATTTTACATGACGTGTTTGATAATTGCTACTTGTGGTAAAGGGAATTAACATAGCACACTATACTGTTCTGGCTATGTTATTATACTTGGCTGTCGGGCATTCATACTACACAGTTTATAATGGTGCCACCTTATATAATTTTGCAGCTCAATGGAAAGAAGGCAAATATACAAGAACTGTGACTGATCCTACATGCTCAATGAACAAAAATAAGATGGCTAGATTCTGTAATACTGTTTTCTGATTTGTGTTGCCATCATAAATGTTTATAACTGATAGCTGTTATGTTGTCAGTCCTGGCCAAGGAAACAACATATGAACCCTATACTTCATCTACTTAACACTAACAGCAGCCATAGTTTCTATAATTGGTCCAACAAAACCATCACTTATCAACCAAATAGCAATGCTAGGAAGAAAAAAATACCAAAGTTCATAATATTCAGAATACTACTATCATTACGGGGCCTACCACCATTCCTAGTATTCCTACCTAAATGAATCATCATCCAGCTAATAAACCTCGACAGAATAAGGGCAATCAAAACAATTATAGTAATCATATCAATCCTGATATTGTTTATTAAAAAAAGAACAAAATTTTCAAGTCTGTAGTGTAGCATCACAGTGTGTTATACTGATTCTCGCTTTTTCTTGTATGCCACTTTTCACTATTCAAAAAGTACAATATACACTTTTATCATTATTTCTTGAGAATGGGAGGAGATAAAACAATCCTCACTGCAATGACATAAAAGCAGGGAATTTGAGCCTGATGATGGCCACACTGGACCGAAACATGCTGTTTAAGTGAATGGACAGTGGACACAGCGTGTGAAAAGCAGAGTACAAGAAAATACCACAAATAAAACTTTAGCATGAAATGTAAATAGTGGGCTGTTTCTGGATTCTAATAAATTGCTTATTAGTACCGAATGGCAGCCACTAGCAGCAGTGTTGTTGACAGTTTAAATATAAGTGATTCAGAAGAAAGTTTATTGATTCAGACAGAATGAAAATTCTGCAGATGATTATGCAATGATACATTCGTTACTGATGATGATTATGAAGATCACAAAGTGATGTTACTGACAGATTTCATATGTATATTGGGGATGCACTGCATAATACAGCATAAGACACAACATTTTGGTTACTTTTAACTATTTCTTAACAGTGAATTTTGGTAGATTATATTAACAGAAACCAATGCCAATGCAGAATAATTCGTAACAGAGACCAATCTTCATGCAGAACAATTCATAATAAAATCACATGAGAAGAAATATCATTCTGTCTTGGACAGTGGAGAGAAATTTTGTGACTGTAGTGTTTAAATGCTAATGGAGATGTCCCTTTTATGAGTGTTTATGAGAAAACTGAATTATTATGGTAATGTACATCAAACAGTCATACTTTGCAGATATTACTAGATTTGCTTACAGAATTTTGTTTAAAATTGCAGAAGTTACAGTTATATTAGTCCAAGATGCTTTAAAAATAGATTAAAATGCCATCATCTCCGTCCTTAGGTTATTTAAGTTGACTTAATCCTCCACTGCTATATGGTTAAGATTTATTTTTAAATGTCAAGACTATTGATCATTATAAGCAAACACAATTACTACAACTCGCAAATTGAAATCGGCAATAACATGCGTTCAAGAATTGGAGACTTTTCAAACAACAACCCACTCTTTCAGTGGAAACAATGTCAAAAGACAGAAAACTTCATGAAGTCCTACATAACTATGTTAAAAATTGGGTTCATGGGATTTTAGGGCCTAAACTACTTTTAGCAATGGTATGAGTGGAAGATATTCTTGCACTCTGTTTAGCAACTACACTATAATAATTATTTACTGGTGCATGTTACAAGAAGACATCAACAAATAAATGCTGAAAGTCTCTGACTAGACAAGTAACATCACAAATACCTAAAACTTTTGTCAGGGGGGAGACAATAGTCTGTAGAAGGCGAGTGGTTTTGGCTAGGACTAATTCCCATAGTTTGTGAGCCTCACTTTCACAACACTTGAACTCTGCTACAATAGAGCAGAACTGCTCAAAGTTCACATTCAGTTGCTCCAGGGGGATATCCTTCACCTCTCGACCCAACACACCTACAACAATCAACAAAATTTAACAGAATGAGGAGTACAAAAGTCACTCAATATTTATGCCTGCCAATGTAGGGTGAAAGTAAGGACATGAAAACATACAGAATCTGAAAAATTGTCCACAAACTTATAATTTTTCTCTGGCATATCATGCTATTTTAAGTGGGCACTTAATAATACAACATTAAAAAATTTAAAATACCTGTTTGACCTGCAACAATGCTCCTCAAATCTGACAGGGACAAGTTCCTGTTGGTTAGTATTCTAAATGCCATGCACACCTGAAACAATGTTTAATAACATCAAATTACAACTTCAGCTTTAATGTGAAAGTCACATCACTAAAATTAATGTTAAGTTAGGAGCCTGATATAAATCTCGCTATCACTATAGGGTGCACTGAGTGAAAAGTTTTTTCATATAACCAAACTCACAGTGGCCTTTTGGTGAACAGAAGACATCCTAATTCATGTTAAAAAAATTAAATCCGTGGCGTAACAGCTCCAGAGAGCCAAAGCCAACTAACTTGACTGCTGGCCTCAAGTTCACATGCCTAAGCAGAGGTGAATGATCATCCAACCAGATATAGGGTGACGTGTGGTCAGCACGATGAACCCCCAGCCATTGCTAGCTTTCCTGACCGGATTGCTACTCATTGTAGCTCCCCAAATTCCTCACGATGCTGGGTTGGCACCGGTCCCATACACCGGTCAAAAGCTCAAGCGAAAATGTCTTTTCCCCCGAGATTCGAACCAGCGCGCATTCCGTATCGCCGGTCCGAAGCATGATGCCTCAGACCGCGCGGCTATGGCGCGGGACCCTAATTCATGTTACTATGCTAATATCTAAGAACCATCCACTATAACGTTATCATGAAAAAAGGCACATATATTAATGCAGTGTTTTGAAATATACTTACATCTGCTAAGCAGAGTTCTCCTGAACGAGTCGTGTCAAGAGCATCAAATGCTTCCCTCAACTTGCTGCAATAAGAATGAATGATACTGAGTGAATCTCTCAGCATGTTACAGAAGGTTGGAGAAAATAGCATAAAGTTCTGCACCAAGTATTAATAGGATGACCAAAAAAAGAATGAGATGGGGAGTATATATAGCATGCATGAGGATGATGAGAAGTGCTTAACGATTTTGCTGGGAATCCAGATGGAAATAAATTGCTCAGAAGCTCTAGGTATAGATGGAATAATAATATTAAAACGGATCCTAAGGAAAGAGGGAGACAGGCTGTGGTCTAATTTCATCTGGCTCAGCAAAGTGTTTAATGGTGGGCTAAAAATACAGGTAGCCCTCAATTTACGTCGGGGACGTGTTCCTGGACGAACCTGCGTAATCGGAATCAGCATAAATTGGAACGATTTTATAATGTAAATTAATGGGAAGTCAATGACATGCGTTCCCAGCACCCAAACATTGACGAGTAATATAATGGCATTACATTTAAGCTCTAAAATAATGTAAATAAAATAAAGGGAATTTAAAAAATATATTTTATACACTTACAATCAGCGATGGCGTGATGAAGCGACGTTAGTTCTCTGACGAAGTCCCTGGTTGAAGATCGTCATGTTTTTTTTAAAGAAGACATGTAGTGTGGACTGTCGTGATTTCTTCTTTCTTTTGAAATTTCACGATAAGGCCTCATGGCCTCAATTGCATAAGAGCAAACTTGCATATGCAAAAGTTTGCATTTCACAAACAGCTTTTACCAATTCATCAATCTCATTGGAGCAAATTCGCATTAACGAAACAGACGTAATTGCAGATATGACTGTATTTATAATTTGTATTCAAAATCAGCAATGTAAGAATTACGATTTAGTATAAGAAGCAGTACGAGAAACATTGTAAAACATTATAAATAATAATAAAATATATTCTTTTCACTTTTTGACTTTCTGGTTTCAAAATCAGCGTTATTCTGAATCGGCACAAATTGGACTGGCGCAAATCGAGGGCTACCTGTATATCTGTAAAAACTACAGGCAGAATGTGGTGGCATTTTATGTAATGATGTGTCTTCAAGCACTTAGGAATAATCCAACATAAGCAAGATCAGTTTGTGTTTTCCCCAAACTGCAGCAAAGTAAAATTAATTGGCAAGATTCAAACATCATATTGCAAAGTATTTTCTAAGATCATCACCTATTTCAACCCTTCAACCCATCTCCTTTTGTATACTGGCAGTTTTAAACTGCACTTAATACATACTAAAATAATCACACTTTTATGTGCAACTTACATTAATTTGTCACCAAGTGGCACATGTGCCATCTTCACTGGCTGTGCAAAATCCTTGAGTCCCAATTCTTGTACACTTATGTTTTCCCGTAATACCTATTGGAAAAAATATATAATTACTGAAAAACAATGCCATGAATTTCAAATATTGGGCATACCTATATAAGAAAGAATGAAATGCTTTGTAACAGACTGACTGACTGACTCTATGGCACAACAGCCCAAAGCCGAGTCTTGGCCTACTCCCATGCCAGAGGTTTCTTCATCTTTGAAATGTGCATTTATGAGCAGTGAGTGACAAGCCCACTGCCTCTGTAAAATTTCTACTCAATCCTGATTTGTCCGTTAGAACCATCTTGTAGTGAATCAGGAGAGATGTGGGTGAGAAATGGCCACTGAAATTTTGCTTACGAAACATGCACACAAAGTTCTTTCACATGCCATAAATCTACAATATGGGACCACCGGCTTTACTTCCCCTCCGAAGGAAGTTGTGCTATGGATTTTTATCATCCTTAAAAATCAACTGACCTCAGCCGAGTTTGAACCTGTGAACCTTGGGTCCAGTGGCGAGCACGCCAACCACTAGTTCACGAAGGAGACACTTCATAATAGAATTCACACAAATCAGAATTAAACAACTGAAAGCATAATCAAAAAATAAGTTTCCTACTTCCCTATTATGAAAAATTTAATGTCATTACTGTGGTCTGTTTCCAAATTTTATACAAGAAAAGTATATGGAGTATACAGCACTAAACAAGTTACCAAGTCTCAAAAGACGAAGATAATTATGAATGGTTGGTCAGAGGGCTGAAGAACACAACAGCTGTAACCCATTTCATGATACTACCTCAACAATCACTTAAAGAGCAAAAGTTCAAACATATAACCCCCACATACAAGCGTAAGTCCAGTAAATACAACCAATGAACAATGAACACCCTATTCCATATCCTTCAGGACAATTCAGAAACCTAAAATCCATGGATAGGAGGTATCAAGAAACATGAAATTCACACTTCCTAAATGCAATGCTAAAATGTCTTCCTTAGTTTTGTATTCATACAAGTAATCAAACGCGAGACATTTCCTTAGTTATGCGTTCAAAACATAAATAAAAATGTTAGATACTTACTCAGTTTTCTACTCATACAAGTAATCAAAATGTGAGACAATCTGCTTAATTTTGTATTCTTATAAGAAATCAAAATGTGAGATATTCAACTATAGAAATCCTCACTCTTTAGAACTCACTTTGGCTGTACAGTTAAGAGCAATGGGCACACTTTCAAAAACAGGAATTCCTTGCCTCTCCACCAGATCCTGCAGCATCATCTGACCTGTTGTAAGATCTTCATACTCCCTGAAGAAACAATATAACAAATTAATCTAAACAAAATGAGTAAGCAAACTTGTAGTTACCTGGCTTTAATCAAATCCCATGAAAGACAGTATGAATCATGTCCTCAAACTTCCTTTTTCCTTAATCTGAGATTTAGTGTCTGAAACTATAAGAATCAACTCATCCAAAATTTAAAAATTACCCAGACTTTGTTAACAGTTTTATCACAACAAGGAATTCACAAAAAATTACTTTTCTCCTTATAATTACATAAGCTCCATGCCAAACAATCTCAGATCTCCATTTGTCTACTAACTCTGAGTACTCTGTCTATAGAAGAGGTAAGATATTACTCAAAAACAATAGAGAATATTTTGTTTAATGTAACCAGCACCTCTTCAACCAAGACCAATGTGAACACCAGGAGAGGAAAGAATATAAAAAATGTGCCTATGAGCTGAACCTGAACTCTTTACCTTCCTTCAAATACATTAAAAGAGCTATTTTGACATTCGTGTCACCTTTTTCTGACAGACAGGCCACCAGTTGCTATAATTTGGTTTGGAAAATGACACACACAAATACCGTATTTTCGTGAATTTCAGAAAAAATTCGTACCAAAAAGTGAGGTGCACAGCTTATTTGATAAAGGTAACAGCGCTACTCAATTGTCATATTTTGCACTCCAGCGCATCCCAGACGGTAGTAGCCCACTCCTCCGTTAACTTTCGTACTCGCATGCATCACACACTACTAGCAAGAGCGCAGTTCATCTCAGTTTATTCACAGGTGAAAGTCAGTTTTATGTTGTGATTTTTAGTGAAAAAAATGAGTACAAAGGGTATGCAATTACAATCTTTCACGGTGTGTAAAAAATTAATGATAATTAGGGAGGCACCCATAGAAAACAACAGGCAAAATTATTGTTTTGTATATTTTAATCTTTAGGTTCTTGGAAATCAGATGGGAAGGCAAAATATTTTGAACTGAGATGTGGCAAGCATTTCCGGAATTTAGTCTCATCCTAAATTCCTTGTGAATATCATTTTGATTTGTAATTGTTATTCCCAAATATCTGAACTTTGTCACACTTTCAAAGGATTTATTTAGCCACCCTAATATGATTTTGCCTGCCTGTCTGCTGATGGGATACTAACATATACTTAGTTTTTTCTGAATTAATGTCTAACCCCACCCTTCTACTAGCCTCTAGTAAAACTTCTGTGTTCGTCTTTATTGTATTTATATCGTCACCCAATAAATTAACATCAGCATATGCCAATAGCTGATGTGTCCCATTCAATTGCAAACCCTCCTGCCTATCTTGGGACTTTCCTGATAGTGTATTCTAGCGCAAAGTTAAACAGCAAGGGAGACAATGCATCCCTTGTTTCAGACCATTCTTGATGGAAAATGACTCAGATAAATATTTACCAGTGCGAATTTTGCTACAGGTTCATTTAAGCACATTTTTATTAGACTCACTAGCTTCTTTGGTATACCAAATTCAATGATAATATTGTATAACACTTCTCTCTTAACTGAGTCATAGGCTTTTTTGAAATCTTTAAATAACTGATGTACGGTCCCAAAATACTCCCATTTTTTCCCAGTATCTGACGGATGCAGAAGATCTCATCAATCGTTGATCTGTTTCGTCTGAACCCACACTGATGATCCCCAATAATTTTAATCAAATATTGAGTTAATCTCACCAGAAGAATGTTTGATAGAATTTTGTATGAGGTTGATAGCAGAGAAATTCCTTGGTAATTACCACACTCAGTCTTGTCCCCCTTCTTATGAACAGGAATAATTATGGATTCCTTCCATTGTTGTGGCATCTCTTTCTTATCCCAAATTAAATGAATAAGCTTATGGATCTTCATATGCAACCTTTCGCCACCTGCTTTAATTAATTCTGTTGGAATTTGGTTAATACCTGGAGATTTATAACTTTTCAACTTTCCAATGGCTAGTTCAATTTCATCCAAACTAGGTTATGGCACTAACAGTTCAGCCGTATGTATTTTAATCTGTCTAACATCATCAGGCTCATGAACATTTAAGAGCTCGCTAAAGAAATTTTTCCACCTATTCACAATTTTAATTGGATCTGCAAGCAAATTACCATTTATCGTCCTTTACCAAATTGGTCTGGGGTTGATATCCTTTCTTAAAGTTATTAATGCCTCTGTACAGGTCTCTAATACTTTTGTCCTTACTATTTGTCTGAAGCTCAATAATTTTACCTTTCAGATATTCCCTTATCTTGTTCCTGACGGTTCTACTAGCTTCACGTCTCACATTATATAGATTATCCTTATTCTTTTTCCTTGTGTCCTGCAAGCATTAAAATTTTGTTTGCTTCCTTCGATCCATTACTTTTGAATGTTCTTCATCAAGCCACAGTTTATTTTGCTTTCTCCTGTAGTTTCTTTTTGGCTGAAATTTTGATGCAGTGTCTGACATTTTCCCACTCCCTGTTGATATCCACAATTTCATCATCTTTATCTGTCTCTAAAATTTGAAACCTAATCGAAATTTCAACTTTATATTGTTCCTTCGCTTCTCCCTCACTTAATTTTTTCAAGTCAAACCTTTCTGTGTCAAAATTTTGCTTAGTTCGTCTACTTACTGACAGCCTCTCCCTCACTTTTGCTATCACCAGACAATGACCAGTGTCACAATCTGCTCCTCTGAATGACCTCACATCAATTATACTCGTCTGCCTTCTATTATCTACTAAAACATGATCAGATTGTGTGAGCTACCATCTGGATACGTCCACGTGTATTTATAAATATCGTGATGCAGAAATGTTGTACTCTTTACAATTAAATCTTTAGACGGAGAAAAGTTTATTGCTCTAACACCATTGCCATTACTATACCGGAAATAACGAAGAAGTGTTCTTTTATATGAAATAATGTTTATCATTTAATATGTTTATTAATGTTTGATGTTTTTTGATATTATAATCTTTAATGGTGAGAAATAATTAAGTCCAACACCCAACAACAAAAAATTTGATTAACCTGTACAACCTAGATCAGGGGTCAGCAACCTTTTCTATACCATGGTTAACATTCATTATGCAAATCTTTGCTGAGGACTGCAAAAAATATTAATAATGCCCTGGATAGTAAGCAAAAATATATTTCATTAACTAAAGAGTACAGCTACACCTCAAAATGGATAATAGCTGTATTTCTCCAAAAAATTATATTACAAATGCAATGCTACATACTCGTCTGTGATAGGTTCTCCCCATATCGTCTGCCCTGGACCTTGATATGTATGAATCACCAGAATTAATTTCCGACGTCTGGCTGAAAGATGAGCTGCCTCAATCATGGATGCAACACTCCGAGTCTGGTTGTCAATAACAAAGAAGAGAATGGCTGCATTCTGCTTTGCCTGGAACTCTAGTTCAATCAGCTCTGGGCCCCAATGTGATACTTGCTATGGAAAGATGAAATCAAGAAATAAATTGAGAATACAAGTTCTCAAAATACTGTGGAAAACAGATTAACTACATACATCATTTAAATTGTGAATAAAACTCCTAAAGCTACAAGCATTTTAAGCTTCTCATTCTGTATCCTAATTAAATTGAACACGTAAACTATGTATTTTCATTTCTTCATATGCCACCTCAGAATGCGGCAAAGATTCCAGGTACCTGGTTCAATACATGATTGCATATTGATCCTGCACTTAACTTTAGGCCTGTATTTTACCTGGACAGTTTGTATTATTCTGTTACACACAAATTCTGGAGCCATAACAGTAATAGTTCTTTCTTAGTGTCACATAAATCATAGAAAAATATTTGTCCTTGTTTGCAGTAATACCATGTGGTGGGGTTGCTTACCAATTACTAATATTCTCCTCACAATTACAGATGCATTAAAGACAGAAAAAATATTTATAATGCAGGAAAAATTAAAATCCTTCCAGTATACAAAAATATAAAAAATTATGCCGATTACGGTAGGCACCGATTACTGTGATCAAATATGTAAATTATATTTTGATTCTAATAAAGTGCAATTCCAATAAGTGAAGATCATTAGAATATAACATATCTTATTCAGTAATATACATACAGGCAACTCTCGGTTTACAAACATTCGCTATAACGAACGTCACAATTCATTCAGAAATTTCTTAAAGTCACCAATAGATAGAGTTCCTCATAAAACGAAATACCAAACGTATAGTGAACATAACCGTAAGATTTAAATAAATAAACCTTTAACAAATGTATTGATTACAACAATTATCAGAAAATTATTATATGGTAATTATACTGAACTGTTCTTGGTTAATAAAACTAAGCTATCCAGTAAAAAAAACCTTGGTTTACATGCCATGCCGTGTAGAATGTTTTCTCGTGGGAAAGAAATCAGTGATTCCCCCTATTATAATACAAAAGAATCATCACTTGCTTTGCTTTGCTTTGGTTATCTCAGATGGTCAAGTTTAGTTCTGCATTCGGTGACTTAAAAATATATTTTTAAAAATTTAAGCGATCATGGGTCCAAAGCGAAATAGTAGTGCTGGTGCTGATGGTGATAGTAATAAAAGACGCAGTATTAGTTTAGAAACTAAGCTAGACATCATAAAAAGAACAGAAAGAGGTGAGAAGCAGACGGACATAGCTCGTCATTATGGTGTGAACCGATCGAGTATCGTAAAAGCTCAGGAATGCAAGGTACACATAACGAATAAAAACATATAACAAACAACGTCTTGGAACGGAACTCGTTCGTAAATCGAGAGTTGCCTGTATTCAAAATAAACTGATACTACATTACATAATGTAACATTAAAATTATAATTTAAAAAAACATTCACTAATTTGAATAAGATGGCTGTCTTCTGGGTTGTTGCGCCATGTAGTCTGGTAGAAGTTTACCGACGTTTCAGAAGTCCTTGCTGCCTCCATCATCAGCCTTGATGACAATCCAGAAGGCAGCCATCTCATTGAAATAAGTGACTTTTTAAATTATACTTTTAATGTTACATCAGCTGCTCAGAACTAGTGCCATTTTTTTATTGTTCATTCCAGTTACAAGAGTAATCTTCAAACACAGAAAAAAACTATGAAAATTTATACGGAAAAATTGGACATTAATCAATGAAGACCAACAGCAACACGAAGTGAAGAAGTGACTGAAAACACCAGAAAGATTTTGATTTTTTGCGTGTTGCGTATAATGTGCAGTAGTGGAAAAAACCTACAGCAAATTAATTTTACCATTCTTAAACTTATTAAGATGTTCTTCTAGAAAACAACGACATCCTAACCTACTGTGCAGACACAACAACGCAGGTTTTGGCAATCGACAGCTGTTCAACTATTTCTCTAGAAATCTACTGGACAGGCACATGTCTACTCTATGTGGCATGAGGTCCCCGACCCTATATTTCTAAAAGAAAATTGTTCCGGCAGAAGGGTTGAGAGACCATATCAAGGCTTTCAGTGTGATTACCCCATACAATTCTTATGTAAGTGGAGAGTGCGACCTCTCTCAATGTTTGCCTAAAATGCAAACCAGCCTTTATTGTAGGGAACGCCGATTCTTATAACCAGAAGTTTGATTCCCATAAATATAATAATATACTGTATTTTTATAATCTAAACCCATTCCTAGAAATGTGATTCTTTCAGTGGCTGGTTCTATTAACTGGCAAACACATAAGTGGTATTTACTGAAAATTTAATTTTGCTTCATTCTAAATTCTGAAAACATAATGCATTCTTATTCAAGGGTGTACACTATGCACACATCATATGTAAATAAAAATGACATCTGAGTGAGGCATGAAGAAAAAATAGTTTTAACACATTTTCATTTTCCATCCTATGCAAGCATTATGCCTAGCAATTTTTAACAAACATTTGTAATTTGGCATATGATAACAATTCAGTGTGAATTTCATATTACGGTTAACGACACCACCACTTCGAACAGGAGAATAGTTGTCTGAATTATGTGAAAAGGAAACAAAGACACAAACAAGAAGGCAATTATAGTGAAATCCTGCAACAGAGTTCAATTGTTACAAAAAATTGCAGTTTGCCAAAGTCAAGAAAGAAGCTAGAAGCAAACAAAACAATAAAAGCTTATTTCATATATATCAATTCAAAATTAAAATGGGTATTCAACTGTAATTACATGTACATCATTGGACCCTTTATTCATAAAATTCTATTTTGCTATTCCTTACCTTTCTACCATAGAAATGAATAAAATATACAAAATTTCTAAAGCAAACAAAATCATGCATAATCTCCAGGATAATATTGAACAGAACTGTACTTACTGGATTATAATATGTGATGCCTAAGTTCTTGAGCACGGGGATAGCCACATCCTGGCGCCATGTTGTAGGATTGCAAGATCCACCCAAGAAAACCTCATATTTTGGTATGCCCTCTGAAACAGATGGTCAGTCAATCTTTTCTCAAGACAGAATATTCGATGTTACTAACTGAAAATACTTAACTTCAGTAATTCCTTTATAAATTCTGAAAGATCAACATCTGAGTGGAGAAATTTGTAAAACAGCTTCATCATCTGGATGTCATCATGGCTACTATAAATTTCTCAGTTGTCCACAACAGCCTTTCAGTCACTTCTTTAAACACTGCCTATTTCGCATGGGCTAATATGGCAGTATAAGGTTTCAAAGTGTGGTCAATAGACTAGTAAAAACTGAAATTGATTCACTTTATAAAGACTCCAGTGCATTGAGTGTGCTGTGGTAAGTTACGAACTAGCTCAGAAAGCCAAATTAGTCAGGGTGAGCCAACTGCATTACCCCCTTGGTCACTGGATCAAACGCTGAAGGATCTTTATGATTATTTTTCATTCAGACATGGTCAAGCAACTTTAACAAGAAATGTTGACTTGGACAACAACCAGTCATAACAGATGTTTACACCTGACATGCTACAAGTGTACGGATGCAACATATCGATAGGATATCTACTGTGTCAGAGCTGGCAGCCACATTTATATACAAGTTACCACTAAAATTTTGTGTGTCCGGCTATATTATCAAAATTTACTGTACATCATATTACATTTCTATGTGCCTTGAAAGCTGTAAAGTTAGTGTGAATACACTCTGTACACTACAATACTGACCAAATTCTGCTTACATTGCTAGATGACGAAATATTTTATTTTTGCAAGTGCTGCCACCATTAGGCAACTTTTAGAAGTACTTATATATCAAATTATGGTATGAATAGCACGGAGTAAAGAAGGGGTTAAGAGATAAATATAAATCATATTCTGCATGGAATTATAACTGGCCCCTTCTACTATCACAGCTTAATAATACAAACAAGCTCTGAAAAGATAAGTACTTGACATCTTCCTGTTTCTTCTCTTCTTCTCCTCCCCATCTCTCTCAAGCAATCGGGACAGCTGCACTTGTCGAGGAATTCTAAAATGACAAAATTAAGAAAAAAAGCATTAGCTGTGCATTTAAAATGCAAACAATATGGCACAAACTGAAAATTAACACGTAATGGGAGGTCACATCTGTCCATCTGTCGATAAATTTCATTACTAAAGGCACTCAACAGATTTTGTTGGAAATTCTTTTTTAGACACTGCAGTAAAAATTTATGGTATACTGTCATCATCACTGAAATATAACTCTTATTTTACATGAAATTCTAATTGAACATACAATTTTCTTTGAAACAATTCAATGTCTTTTAACCAGTGTGTAACATGACATATAGATCCCATGAACATACTGAACTGTTTTTTAAAATGCTTTTAGATGGTGTACATGTATGGCTTTCACTGACAAAAATACAATAAAATCAATACCACAGGTTCAAGAATAATTTCAAAGCAGTTTATAATGACTTCCACTTGATGAGTAAGCATACACGATTAAGCACCATGCAAAACCGTTTTATTGCTTTAGTCACTTCATCAACATAACTTAATTTCTAGAACCATAAATTCAAGATAAATTAGACTGTATTACTAACAGTACTTTTGAGCCAATACTACCATAACCAGCTCAACAAATATTATAACTGTCAGGTCCTGAGGTTCAACACTGGTTTTGATTACCTGCTAAAGATAAAGTCAAAATTAGATTGTTTAATTACTACATTCATTAGCACCATACATATATGTAATTATTATGTTGTTGGCAAGGGTCACCAGGCAGAAAGAGAACAGAATCTGGTTATTCTCAGACTTGGGGACTACAAGACATTCTTATCAGTCACGTGAAAAGTAACTCAGAAGTTAAAAACTTCTTGTAACCCAGTACTCTCACAGACCATTCCAATAGTTCACCGCAAAGACGTTGGACCAGCATTAATTAAATTTATGCAAGAGAAAGCCTAACTGACACAGCAACGTGATACGTGAAGTGACGTTCACATACTGGGTCCACTTCTTTCTAACTTTAGATTTAAATTAGCCCATCCATTCAGGAACAAAGTTGGGGAAAGCAACCAGTTCCTACAGGCGTCATGTATTATTTCAATGAGCTCCCTTGATAAATCCGTAGAAAAAGAGGTTGAGATTAACAGCAGCCGAAGGCCAAGTCCAAAAAATATGCTCACAAAATAACTCTTACAGTAACAGATTTGTTTTGACTGCAGTATGTGGGACGTAGCCTCATCATGTTGAAACCAAAAACCCCTCTCACCTGTCAACATTGTCTGACGCCAGACACATTTTCTGTTGTAAACACCTCCTGGGTCCCAAATATTGTTATCAGTTGGTGTATTACTGTCATATTCAATATTTTCTTGAAAGAATATGCACTCACTAAGGAGTAATGTTCAAGACCAAACACATTTTGCACAACTGGTATGAGCAGTAGTCTAGCAACAACGGCAACCTTGACTCCAGTACAATGGGAGGTGGAGAGAATCAATTACAAACAGGCAAACCTGCTTCCGATTTCATTTTTGAACTGTAGTCCATGATTGTTGTTGAGCTGCATTTTAAATTGTACATTCTGTACAAGCATAGAGAATGTCATTTGTCTCAAGATGAGAAGGTCTAAAATGATTCTTAACTGGTTGATTTACCATGTTAGGACTCTACAAAATAAAAGTTCTTCAAAAGTGAGTAATTAATTCAGAGACCACATCAAAAAAAGTTTAATAAAACATGGCAAACATTCATCTTCTGTTATAGCAAAGGTTGTAAGAAAGATAAGTTTACCACTTAATATTTACATTAACAGAAAAGTCACAATTAAATTACTCTATTTACATTGCAGTTTCAATACACAATCACTACATAAAACTACATGGCATTAAAACATCAGTGAACCCCTGAGGTTAAGCAGAACACAAATTACACCAAGCAGCAGTTGAATAAATATTTAATTTGCACCCAAGTTGCAGCAGTTTATTTTAAAAGTTCTGTAACATTTCTTGAGTGTTTATAGTAAAACGTTGTTCTGTTCTAACAACAAAACATACATGCACTCCTACAAGAATCAGCCAAATTGGTGCTCTACATAGATACCCACTGAAAACCAGTGGTAACTATATACACCATTTTTATATGATTCTCAGATTAAGCAGCAATTATTTCCTTAAACAGCATTGTTACATAATTAACATTTGAAACAGGTATGTTTTCTTTGAGGTAAGAACGGAATTTTTAAATGCTGAGTAGGTGAACTAAGGCTTCATAAGGTTAAGGGAATAGTTGACAGAAGCACATGAACACTGTGGGTCCGCAGTGGCCGCACAGTCTGAGGTGTGGGCCTTGTGCCGCTTGGTCACTGGGACCGTGGGTTCGAATCCCACTCAAGGCATGGATGTTTGTCTGCGTTTTTCTGTGTTGTGCTGTCCTGTGTATAGGTAGAGGCCTTGTGACGGGCCGATCCCTCGTCCAAGGCGTCCTACCGAATGTCTATAGATCAAGACAACGAAAAGTTGGGACCCGCAGTGCTCAAGCACTTGAAGAACTGGTCGTTCCTAGTATCCAGTACATGAACACTGATAATTCAGGTCATAACCAGTTTAGTAATTCCATGTTCTTTTCTTATTTTGTTATTTCTCTTTCACCACATCACATTCTGTTTTGATCTTTATCCCTACAAACTATCTATTTCCAGGATTTCTTCCAATTATTGTAGCTTTTTATCTGATACGCAATAATTCATATTTAATTTTTGGTTGCTTACCCACTGGTGCTATATTCTCTTGATGGCAGCTAGTATCATTTACTAAGCACTCTTTTCATGAACCTGCATATGGAGATAAGAACCAGCCTCCTAAACATCATATTCATAATGACAATGGACAGTGGCCAAGGAATCAATTTTATCGATTAATCAAATCATCAACTCACTTTGAAATTACCTGTTCACCATTCACTAAACTAAACCTAGGACGTACGAAATGAAAGATACAGTCATGATTTACGAGTGGAGGCATAAACTTACAATCATAGAGTGCTACTCCTGTACGGATGACTCAAATTCAGTCTTTCAGTTAGAAGACTTGATCATCTGAACACACTCACTCATATGAAGTGGTTACCTAACACATATACCATAATGTAAAATGACAGTCATTTAATTAAGACTTCAGTTCAACATCATCATCTATGGTGCTTTGGCCCATTTTCAGAACATGACCTCCCCACTTAGGAGGACTCTTGGTCTTTTGAAGCGCACATCGGTGAGTAATGAGTGACCAGCCCACTGAGTCTGCACAATTTCTACTCAGTCCTGATTTGACTGCCAGAGTCATCTAGCAATAAATCAGGAGACTTGGGTGAGAAATGGTTGCTGAATTTTGCTTACGAAACATCTCGTATCATGTTCCTAAGGTTCCTTTACATGCCATAAATCTACGATATGGGGCCAAAAGATTTACTTCCCCTCTGAAGGAAGTTGTGCTACGGATTTTTATCACCCTTAAAAATCCATCGACCTCAGCCGGGATTGAATCCGCGAACCTGGGGTCCAGTGGCGAGCATGCTACCCACTAGTCCACCAAGGGAAACAAGACTTCAGTTACATTATTTATATGAACTGAATCACCCATTCACTAGCCATCCAAATTACAGTACCAAACCATTGTTACAGGTCATTAGAACTAAAATATAACTTATATTTAATATTAATAATAATATTTATCATCATAATATTTTGCTTACCCTCGTTCATAACACCTCTTCAGCTCTGTTGCAAAGATGCAGAACTCTCCAAATGTGAGGTAAGACGCTGAGTTTCGGTTTGCACATTCCTTCGCACACTGCAGCATTTCATATACTGCAAAAGAAAGGTTTATTAAAAACATAAAAATATGGATTTACATAATCACATCAGCTTCTCAATCTGCAAAGTAATATTTTTCTAGTATCTAGCCACACATTTATGTATGCTTATGTCTTGAAAATGTATTTCAGTGGATAAAATAAAAGACCTATCAATCAATTCACATTCAAAATCATGTTTCCATTCAATAAGCCTAGTTGCAGAAAAATACATTGGGGAAAACACACAAAACAAAATATACACAATAAGGACAGCTGCCTAATTTTAAAAGCAATGGTGTCCTGAAGGACATTTATTTCCAGCTCATAATTCCTTTGCCACAACTGTTATTAGCCTTGAAGCAAAAGGAGAGCAATGTTAAAAAAAATCTCACATCGTACAGACTTGGACATACTTCTGCATTTTGTTACCAGGAAGGCTCAGATGAATCTATTGATAAAATAATCACTGCATCACATCTTTGTTACACAGCCGATATTTTAATGTTGCTTGCAGTGGCTCATATTTCTGTTCTATTACCAGGCTGAATTTCTGCAAAGGTGAACAGCTTTAACAATAATAAACTGACAAGAAATAATGTTATGCAAGTGACTAATGATGAAACAGCCTATGACCTCGTTTAATATTGGTCCAATTACTCTATCTGCACTCAAACTGCTCCATATGTCACTTTCAGTTAAGTACCTCGGTGATCCCAAGAGCTATGCTGGTGGTAGCATAGCTACTGGTATGGCCTCCCTAGCCAGATTGGTCGAGGGGGAGTGGTCAGACTAAGACAGGTACCCTGGTCCTCCAGGTTGGGGGTTGGTCGCAAGGCTAACAACCTTGCCCCATAAAAAGGAAGATGTTTCTAAACCTCAATCAAAGCCTCGGACAGACGGACCTAAGAGAGGACCGAATGAAAGAGGAGAATTGAGGAGGCCATGGAACGAATACGGACTGGAAAGCCATAGAAGAAGAAGTGGAACATCACATACTAGTTTTGGACTGCTGAAACTCCAGTACCTGCTGTTTCTTTCATGCACCTAAACCAACTCGTATCAGAGAATTACATCAAGTAATGGTCAATTTCAATATCACAAACAAATTTAGGAATCCGGTTACGAAAATTAATTATGTCAGTGGGTTCACAAGATTGCAATTCATGCACTACTGCCATCTTAAACAGTTTCAGTTTTAGGAAGTTTGTGGTAACTAATGCTGATGATTTTGAAACCTTGATCTGAGCAAGGTGTCTGAAGGATGTTTGAGGAATGTCTAGCAGCAATTTCATCCGGTCCCTAATCAATGAATACTCGGTGTTTTAATATGGGTTCTCTGTTCAGAAACAATCCTGTCATAATTTACTTACAATTCTATTCACAGTTCTTCTACATGAAACTGTAACATCCTGAAGTGCATGCTCATACAGTATATTCTACTTAATTTTCGTGTCAAAACACTTTTCATATAGCTACTGTACACATGGGATTCCAATACTGAAAATAACATTAGAGTGAATGAACAGCTATTTATTGCTTGGGTCAATTTCAGTGGCAGCAGTTAAAGCAATGTGGAACTAAAATTAGGAATTGGTCAGCCCACGACACAAATTCGGTTCTCAGTAGCTGTTCCGAGATTTGCAGGGGTGCTCAGAAAAGAATTTCAATGTGAAACTGATATGAAACAAGTATAGACAAATATATGTTCCACTAACTTCAATAGACCATTTCACTAGTATTATTTTGAAGAGTTCAAAAAAATATAAATATGTATAAACAAAAACTTCAACCTAGATACTTGGCAGTTTGCCAAATCAAAGATAAATGCATGGGGAATGACTTACAGAAAATTGCCTCAAAACCTGATGCATCACTTTCAGTTGAAAAAACAGTGTAACTTTTCTGGGGGAGGGGGGAGCACAATATTTGGCAAACAAAATTAACTTGAAAAAAAAAGAAGAAAAAAGAAATACAAACATGTTACAGTAATTCATATTCAAACATAAAACATAATAAATATTAGCAATGTAGCAACTTGGTACAAGAGACTGGTAATTACATGACAGATATCACAATATTTTCAATGTTTGGAAAAAATATTACAACTGCTACATGACATCTTCTTCTTCTTCTATGGCTCTCTGGTCCGTATTCGGTCCATTGCCTCTTCAATTCTTCTCTTCCATTCGGTCCTCTGTTACTTCCGTCTGTCCGAGGCTTTGATTGAGGTTTCAAAACATCTTCCTTATTATGGTGTAAGGTTGTTAGCCTTGCGACCAACCCCCAACCTGGAGGACCAGGGTACCTGTCTTAGTCTGACCTCTCCCCCTCGACCAATCTGGCTAGGGAGGCCCTACCAGTAGCTACATGACATCAGGCAAACTGAAATTCTTACCACTGTGATCCAAGTACATGAGTGTATTTCAGCAGAGGATGAAATACCTGGAGAAAATAGTCATCTCTCGGGCCAGTTATTAATAAATTCTGTCAGAAATTACCAACGCTGAAGGGAAAACATTACATTCTGAGATCCACAAACTTATTAATATTTGGAAAGTGAAGAAATGTTGCAGCAATAAAAGGTTTTTTTATTGTACTTGTTCATAAGTAATACTGCATAGTAATTACTGATGATCATGGTTAGAAACTTCAGACAAAAATATTTCACAGCATTCTTCTCTTAACAAAGAAATGGACTTTAGAAGAAAAAAACCCATTGGCGAGCGAGCTACAGAGGACCAGATTTGTTACACAGCAGCCCTGAGCATGAGAGCAGAGATTGCTCTTGAAATGGTGGTAGATAAGGTTTATTCACCATTCAGCCACATGACGTGGCTTGTAACCTGAGTCCTTGATAAAGAAAACGCATACATTCTTGGACAAGAGACAGACATGATGCTTTTGTATGATTTTGAATGGGGCTGGCACAATCATAAACAGGCACCATCAATAAAACGGTGATACTGGTCAGTGATAGATAATTGTGCACAATGATTCTGAATCAATTTGCAGCATGCCTAATAAGATATGGACGCACTTGTATATACATAGTTTCTTCTGCATTTACTGCTTGACCAGAATATATTTTGTGTGTTTTTTAAAGATAATTATGTTTGCACCCAATAAATTAACTTCACAAACACAGATCAGAAGCTGCTATGTCAAATTCATTTTAAATTCTTCATGACCTTCCCATTTCATCTGCCGGTTCTGTGCCATCCTTGTCCCACTTTCCCTCCTATACGCCCACAGAATGTAAATAATGTTTTGCTAATTCTCTTGAAACTGCATTCTTCGAATCTGACCTACACAGACTCCTAACATTCCATGTTAGGAGTCTATGTAGGTTCAGTGCCTATATCATTCCACAAAGTACGTCCATGTCTGAGGCCTTGTGTAACATTTTGTAACGCAGTCGGCGGTTTGCTACGGTGAAGAACTGTTAGACCCAAGCCCAACCCCTCAAAGATGGAGGAACCACCCTTATCAGCTGTCAATGTCTCTATGTAATACAAATTACAGTGTTATGAATTTTATCCATCCATGCATGGCAACATTTAATTTTGTTAGTTTGTCAGATTCACCGAATTAACTACCTTGTGATTTTGATGGGTAGAGTTGCATGTCATTGAAGAGCTGCTGGACTTTCTCAGATGGTATATAGCTGGTCGTTCCGACGCGGCCATACCACACCGAGTACACTTCCCTGAAACACATTAAAAAAAATAATATTAGCCTTTAGAAGTGAATATAATACAACCTGCTCCTAAAGTACTCAAACTGATGATGGTAGAAATAAATGGTGGGTGAATGCTTAATGGTACAAGAATTAACAGTTCCTCACTAAAAAAATAATCCATGAAAACAACAAAATGATGACAATTCCCACCAGCATTCTTCTAAAACATGGGCATCTGTAAGGACAGAACTAGGGGAACTGATGCTAATCCACATTTTGATGAATGAACTGTAGGTTGCTTCAGACCAAAATAAATAACCAATGGCTTTACAAAAAAATGCCCTAAAGAAAAATATTAATCACTTTTTGCAACCACTTCCTATGCTTTACTTGCACAGCTTAATCTCAGTATCTATGATTTAGCAAAATGGTGTTCAGGGCCACAGCATTTTCTTTTTATAATATGCATTATAATTATTTTTTTGTAGTTTGACCGCCATCTAAATTATAAAACAATAAAACTACAACATTTCCAAAACTGTGATCAGCATCGATATACCAGAAGATGAAAGCAGATTCCGGGTTAAAAACATTGCAGTTTTATTATTTTATAATTTAGATGATGAACAAGTCCAAAAGAACTGTATTTATAATACACTGCCAGAAACCTTCAGACTTCACCATATTCAAGGATGGAGATGGCTGTCCGCTGCATCGTACCAATGTGTAGTGTACTTGTTTCCTCCATCATCATCACCATTCTGATGATGAGGGCAGCAAGTACCTCAGAAATGTCAGTAAACTTCCACCAGACTACACGGTGCTAGAATACAGCAATCTCCATCCATCTTTAAACTGTCTTGTTCTAATTTCACACACTCAGTTTTCTTGGTTATGTCTGGAACGATCACATCTCTTCACTAGAAATCTTATTATATTAGTCAAGTCTTTGATCAACATAATTGTGAGGATGAGTTATTATATTTACCAGACAACATGTCATTCAAAAGAAAGGAACCAACTTGAGTTCCTGATTAGGGCCAGTTATCCTTCCTCAAATCCTCCCGAGTAAATAGAGTATTATATCACACTTGGCCACAAACAACTTCACTGTTCACTATACCAACACCTCACAGAAGAAACTGGCAGCATAATCAATGGATTGACAATCATTACGCATGTTGAAGTTTTCACTTTATGACGACTTGGAATGCACAGATGTTAAATTTTTATCTTTTTCTTTTCCAACAGATTCATTACATGTACACATAATTTTGTCAGGATACCTACCTAACCTTTTCTGAAACGAACTATACTCATAAACGTATGATAACTTTTGGTTAAGTCGTCAGGACAATTTTAAAACTGACCTTCTTCAATGATATATTTGAACATAAGGGTATACTTACACAACACCAGTTCTTGAACTCATAGCTGGCTACGCACATAATTATACCCATTTTTAAGCGGTGGAACAATTACCAAGGCATATACTATTTAGACGTAGGGTTGATCCATACCGCAATCCGTAATCATGACGTTTTAATATGTCATCTTTAGCCATCCAGATAATAGGCTGCTTAAAATTTGGACATTACCTTACGAATGAAAATCGGGTCGGCAACTAATTCACTAGACCTTCGTCGTTGTTCTTTCAAAGGGTGTCTTCATGTATTCTGAACGTAGACTGTCACTTCCTCTTTTAAATATGAATATCGAATCGACACGATGACAGTGAACAAAAGGCAATATTCGGGTCACGAAGCACCAATATACCTGCGTGAACGTCTCCAACAAAAATGTCGGTCGTGAATACACAACAAAAAGCAAACTAACCTAATAACACTAATACCTCATGGACTGCCAGAATCGATTCAAGCAATCTGGCAACAAGTAAGCGCGTTCTATTAGCAAAGTTCTGATCAAGATTTGCTCTAAGGCGGCATGATATTAACAAACAAAGCGATTCCACGAAACAGAGTCCTTGTCAAGCTCGTACGCTCAGACAGTTACCCGCATTTTATGAAACGTGAAGAGTTCATTGGTGTTCACAAGAGCAGGCCAACGGCCCCTGTTCTGTGCCAGACGAATTCAATCCACACCCTCCAACCCTGTTTCATAAAGATCCATTATTAGGTGTTCTTTACGCTTTAGCGCTGGCGAAGAAAACTTACGGAACCGTTCATATATCCAGCTTCCTGTCTGATGCGTCTTTCAGCCGAAGAGGCCGTGCTGTCATCTATCAGTGGCCTTACAAACCACAGTTTCGGTCATATAACGGGAACGGATAGGTTTTCACGAAATTTAGCGTGGACATATTAGGTATTTGCATTTATTTAACGATGCCTTTTCAGTAGCGCAGACTATATAGCGTCGAATGAAAGGACGATAGTGAACTGGAAAGGATGTGGAAGGAAGCAGCCTAGTCCACAATAGTAGTTTCTAATTTCCTACAATTGTTAGCGCCAACGTGACGAATGCGGATGAATAATGCTGTGAGCTTGGGTGACGACCCCATTACCCATAATCGTCTGCTTTCTGGCTGAAAATTTGTATGCATCTCTCACCTTCCATGCTACATCACCATCCCTCTCATCCTCCTTCATTTGATCATCCTAATAATATTTGGTTCATAGTACAAGATATGGGTCTACTCATAATGCAATTTTCTCATAGTCTACTGTCTTAGGTCTAAATATTTTTCAAAGGACAACGTTTGTTAATATGTAAACAATGTTATTATTCTGGATATATCCATCGCCTTAGTTATCTTATTTTGGGGAAAAACAAACAGATGCATAAAATCCACAATAATTGTCAAGTTTATTCAGCAAAATCGTCAGAAGCCTTTGGATTTAATCCTCAATCTGTGCCATTCCCTTAATTTGACAGAAGAAATTGCATAACCATACAAAGCAACAGGTAAAATGGTGGTTTTCTGTATATTTTGTGTATTTTCATGTCTACATTTTTAGACAGCATGCAGGAAGATAAGCAAACTGAACTGCATGGTAATAAGCATTTTCCAAATTCAGTCTGCTCTGAACCATCTTCTTCGTGAAGGCAATTTTGATTTGCTGCCATTGTTCCCAAATGTTTGAACTTCTCCCTAGTTAATTTCTAGATCAAGTTCTTCACTAGCAACTTGCAGTTTTTCTGTATTTTTTATATTGTTTGCCCCCCCTCCCCCCCAACGAAAAACAAATTAACACCATCAGCATAGACCAGAAGCTGATTTGTCCCATTCAATTCCAATACTTCTTTGTTTTCTAGGACCTTCCCGGTGGAGTATTCTAAAGCAAAGTTAAAAAGCAATGGTGATAAAGCATATCTTTGTTTCAGACAATTCTTAATAGGAGAAGCACCAAATGTTTACCTATATGGACTTCACACTGTAGGTTTCATTTAAACACGTTTTAATTAGCCAAACTAGTTCCACTGGTTTACCGCACTCAATGGGAATGCACAGTATATCCTTCTTAGCTGAATCACAGGTTACCTTGAAGTCTATAAACAGCTGATGTAGGTTCTCCCATTGTATTTCCATCTTTATTCCTGCATCAGACAAATCCAGAATATATGGTTAGTAATTGTTCAATTACGTCAAAATTCACAATGATTATTTTCAACAACTTCGTTCACGTATGGAGTTAAACTTGCATAAAAGTAGTAGATAAATAATATTCCTCAAAAATTACTACAATCAGTTTTATCCCATTTCTCGTAAACAATTACAATAGATTCCATCCACTGTGCTGAGAGTTCTTCCTTATACCAAATCACGAATTATCTACAAAATCTATATGGTATAGAGTTCTTCCTTATACCAAATCACGCATTATCTACAAAATCTATATGGTATAAATATTTTTGTACCTACAAATTCAACCTAATATGCAGTGTGTGTGTCGGAAGTAAGTTTGAAGTTCTTGTATTTAGGCGTCCGTATAAATTGAATTTGGTCTACTAATTATTAACCAATTGTTAACTGTCAAATTTTATAATCCGTTCTGCTTGAAATGAGTTTTCCAAGGAAACAAAGAAATGTCGGGACCAAAGGCACTTCCTTCGGTGGTTGGTTATTCAATGCACATTACATTCTTTCGCCTCCTATCCAGTGGGTACATTCCTGGGGGTAAAGCATAGCAACGCTGGTTCACATTGACGTAAGTGGAGGTTTTTCTGAGTTAGGTTATATCACGCTAAGACCGGGCAGTTTAGGTTATGTCAGGTTGCGTGAGGTTCGTTCAGGTTAAATAAGGTTAAAGCATGTTAGGTTACATTAATTTAGGCTTCGTAGATACGGTTAGTTTAGTTTAATTTCGGTTACGAAAGTTTCAATTTTTGAAAATTTTGATGAATTTAAAGTTATGAAAACGTAAAAAAATATTGCAGACTGAAAATTGTAATATTAAAGTCTGACAATGCCGTCATTTCAAGCTAGGTTTTATGGGGCAAAGTTAGGTTTGGTGAACTTAGGACATGTTAGGTTAGATCAGTTTCGGTTAGGTTAGGTTAGGTTAGGTTAAGTAAGATTACAACATGTTAATTGATGTTCTGTTAAGTTGGGTTAGATTGTCTTTTCTGTTATCAAAGTTCGGGTTTTTATAAACCTTGACATATTAATTCTGAATCTTGAATTTCGAGTATGGGAGTTGCGATTAAATTATTTTCAAATTTTAGAAAACTTTGCAAATTTTAAAGTTGTGTTTACAAGTTATTAAAATTTAAAGTTTATGAGAAGTGAGATTAGTTTACGATGTGTAGGGTTAGGAAAATGGGTTTGGATTGGGTTGGCAAATGATAGGTTGAATGGGTTTAGCTCATGTTAGACTACCACAGGTTTGTTAGTTTAGATGAGGTTAGATTATGTCTTTTCGTGTGGTACGCTAATTGAGGTAAGCTAGACAATCGACTGGATATAATCTGCTATGACTGTCAAACACTGGGTTAAAAAAAATTGGCGGGAGAGCTAATATAATACTGCTAAATGAATAAAATCTTCTCGGGCAATCAGCCGCGTTAAC